TTCTCCATCGTCATGCTGTCGTTCAATCAACAATCTAATAATGAACGTTCCAAAATAATTCACATTTTGACTCGTTTCAATTAATTTCGACAAATTTCAACTTGAATTCGAGTGACTTTCAAGCTATAATTGCACTTGCTCGGCTCGCGATCGAACCCTCTACGAGAAGGCCTACAGAAAACGGTCGGCACTAATATTGGCCGGACCGCTCGAAATCTTGATGTTTTCGATATATAGTATCATGATTCGACTGAATTGTTATCATTACCTGTGTATCACCGAACACACAGTATAGCACGATTTTTTAATGTGACGCTGATATAGTAACGAAATTAATAATAGCAATAGACAAAAAGGTAAGTAGCCATGCAGTAATAATACTTATTCAACGAGTTCGTATAATTACACCTACTTACATTACTTATACTTGCACGCACACGCACGCGCACATACACACATACATAAGCTACATAAGCACGTACATGATGATCGTACGATCAACCAACATATGGAAGGAAGTTTTTTAAGTTTTATTAAATCACTTTGTTTTTAAGATTTATTGAAAGATAAGGATTATTGAAATGGGATTGGTAATTCGGAACGAAACCGTTTGGGGAAATGACGTCATTTTAAAAGTAGTTTCACAGTACGTTAGTGAATTAGCAGAAATAAACATTGTATTCGATTCCTATAAATAGATAGATATGTGTAGTTATTAAATATATATATATATATTTATACATTTAAATTTTACAATTACAGTGAAGTAAGGTGTGTGGAGTCAAATTATTTTGAATTCTCTCGGAATAATTTGATTTGAATCGCGTGCGTACATACACATGTAACATTGATTTCTGTTGGTTTTATAATGAAGTTATATAAAAAATATATATAAAGAATTTAGAATTTATGTATACAAATAATTATCAAGATTATATGTCTACATAAAAAGAAATACAGCAGTTCCAACCAGTCAATCAATCAGAATGTTTCGAAGTTTGAGTAGCTCTGTTGTCAAGAATGTATATTATTGTATTAAATAAAACCAAAAATCAATAACATTGAATCAATAAAATTTTTACAGATATTAATGATTGAATTGATTGTGAGTATAATATATAAAGAAATAAAGTAAAAGAAATACATATTTTCATTTTTCAATAGTTATGTGAAAAAGGAGTGATCTCGATTGAATTTGAATTCAACTAGCTAAACGTATACACACACTCGAACCTTCCCATCAGGAAGTTCGTAGGCGGTCGTTGAATTCATTCTAGTATAGTTAATATATTGTTGTTAAACACATATAATAATGTTTCCTATACATTAAATAAAGTTTTTTAATGATGTCAATGATTGAAATGATAAGAATATATGAATGGAACTGGTATAAATAGGAGCTGAAAATGTGTTAAAATCCGACCGGGCGCTTTAGGGCATTCCCTTAGCGCCTGGTCCCTTTTTTTATTTCCTAATTTTATTTTTTAGTTAAGTTGTTTATTATTACTAGACGTATTGGTTACTTATTAATACTAGGTTTATCCGTTTATTTTATTCGTTACTTATTATTTCTAGATTTGTTCGTTTATTTTATTGTAATTATTATTGCGCGGTCATACAAACACACACACACAAACATACATACATACATACATACATATATTCGTTGTTTTTGTTTACTTGATGTTTTATTCTCTTTTCTTTACTTTTTTCTTCGTAATTGTACAAATAGGTAGGATTAATTCGTAAGTTGAGCTAATTGAACATAGGTAGGTGAGTTAATTTAGTGAACATAGGTAAGTTAGGGACTCTATTCTTTCTTTCTTTCTTACGTTTTGGTTGATTTGTATTGTATTGTTTTTTTGTTCAAACAACACCAACATCAGCAATCAAACACAACAATCAACACAATATTATTTTCGTTATATTTTAGTTAAGTTTAGTTAAGTTGTTTATTATATCTAAACCATTCGTTACTTAGTATTACTAGATTTGTTCGTTTATTTTTTTCGTTACTTATTATTTCTAGATTTATTCGTTTATTTTATTCGTTACTGTTATTTCTAGATTTGTTTGTTTCTTAGAGTTTGCACACACACACACACACATACACACACGTACATACATACATATATTCGTTGTTTTGTTTGCTTGATGTTTTATTCTCTTTACTTCTTTCTTCGTAATTGTACAAATAGGTAGGATTAATTCGTAAGTTGAGCTAATTGAACATAGGTAGGTGAGTTAATTTAGTGAACATGGGTAAGTTAGGGACTCTATTCTTTCTTTCTTTCGTTCTAGTTTATTTGTATTGTATTGTTTTTTGTTCAACACAACATCAACAACAGCAATCAAACACAACAATCGACACAATATTATTTTCGTTAGGTATATTTTAGTTAATTTGTTTATTATTACTAGATATTCGTTACTTATTATTTCTAGACTGTCGTTTTATTATTAACCCCCTCACGAACGGCTGCCTTGACGTGGCGAGGGGGCTTCTCACTAAATGCCGTTTAAGTTTGTGCTTCTTCTTCACTTGTTTGTTCTCTTAAAAATACGATTCTCGGCTACATTAGCGTTTGCAACGATTTACCCATCCTTTTTAATAAATTTTATTGGATGTTTTTTAATTGCTAGTTATTATAATCCATCCAATCACATTCAAGATGATGCTTCAAATGCATCCAATCAAATTCATTTGTTTGTTTGTTCAATGTGATTACTTAACGGTCATTTTACTAGTTATTGCGTTACAATTTTTCACGTTTTATTCGATCCCAACAATTTGCGCCTTAAAGTTTAAGAAAATCATAATTATGTATGATTATGCAAACACAGTACGCCAGAAAATGGAAGACAAAAAAGATTTGAAAACTTTTTAATTTCTACACACAAAAATAGAATCAAATTTCAATTAGAATAACTAGAAATTAGATTTTATTGTAGTTTTTAGGTGTGTATCATTTCAAAATCTTTAAGAAAATCAAAATTTGTATCAGTCTTGTTATTATGTATGAGAGAAGTAAGAGGCCGATTGTCATCACTAACCAAATAATCCATCAACTCAAAGTCAGGCATGGTATGGTAGACGTCCTGGGATGCCACGTCGGCACCCACTACCTTTGAGGTTGCTTCGCATCTTATAAAATTTTTAATTCCACCAATGTTTCCTGGGTCGTTGCTACTACTGCCAACGTCATTTTCACCACTGAATAGTTCTGCTGAATGGTCGTTCAAATCTAAATATTTGAAGTATTATCGTAATTAAAACACACACACAGAACTATATATATATATATATATATATATGTATATATATATATATATATATATACTTGATCAAATAAAAACGATTTGATTCTGATTTGATTGATACACATATTTATTTACTTATTTATTTAACGATTGAAGAATTTAGCAAAATATTTCATGAAGAAAGGAATGAATGCGAAAAATGAAGCACACAAACCAGTTGCACTAGATCTTATAACATCCAGCACATCTTCAAGGGAATGTTCCATTTCTTGAGAGGGTCGTTCAACATTTATTGAGTCCTTTAGCTGTTCTTGAATAGAAGAGGCAAGTGTTTGAACGGTTGCAAAGGATTCCTCAGAACTGTCTGTTTGCTGTGAAAATGCACTTGGATACATCTGTTTTACGTTTGATATGGAAAATGAAGTTTCTGTCAGCATTGGAGGCAAAGGCAAAGATTTCAATGTTACATTATTTTCGCCAGTTAAGACATCTGACACGAGACTATTTGTTCTATTGATGTCTGTAATGTTAGTAAGATTATTTATTTGTGAATCACTGTTTAAAAAAAATGATGGCTGCCGTTGGAAATGGTAGTGTGGTTTTTTAAATAAATTTTTGTTGATGCTACTGGTGCTATTTATTTTCGATAAAATATGCTGCTGTTGATAATTGCAATTAATATTAATACTATTATCATTTTCGTTGCTATCTTTATTAATGCCATTACTGACATTGTCATTCTTAACGTTAAACACGCTATCCACATTGTCCTTAATAATGCTAAATTGCTTAAAACATTCATGTATGGATTGTTGTTTATCAATATATTGTTGCATATCATGATCAACACGTTTTGATCTGTCTGCTCCCATGTTCTGGTTCTCAGGCGTAAAATGAATTTGTTGCTTTTGTTGATGTTGTTGCAGTTGTTGTAGTTGATGTTGTTGTTGCTCATGTTGATGTAGTTTCAGATGAGGACCCTGTTGTAATTGTGTGACTCTTTGTTGCAGTTGAATGTGTTGTTGGGGGACTCGTTGAGATTGTTGCTGCTTGAATGAGCTGAAAGAGTTGCTTGCAGTGGATTTGTTGGACGGATGTTTGTTGGAGTATGTGAGTAATAAATGAATAATTTTATTTTTTACATTCAACTCTTGCATAACTGCCTCATATTTCAACTGCTGCTCATGCAAATTCGATTCAAGATTCATAATCTTCTGCTCGTATTGCAGCAGCCTACCCTCCAACGAAACATCTAGTGCAGATGTCATCTGGTGTCTTTCTGAATTGTCATTGCAATCGGCAGACTTTGCCAACTCATGTGCATTAGCTAGAGCTAGTTTGTTGCTAGTTGATTCATTCAAGCTATCAGCCCTCCCAAATTGTATTGGCTTCTCTATAAAATTTTCAGTTTCCATGGGTAGTGCCAACTGTAAACAAGCATTGTTGCGGTTGTTGTTGCTGTTGTTGTTGATGTTTTTGTTGATGTTGTTGTTATCAATATTCATCATCTTATTTTTCAAGTTAATGGAGGTAAGCAACTGATTTGTGTCCTCAACATTAATTAAAGAGTTAACGTTATAAATGAAGGCAGTTTTGTTGTTATTATCGATATTTGCATTATTGTTACTGTTGTTAGTATTATTACCATAGAAAAATTTATTATAATTATTTAATTGTGAAACATTGGACCCAGATTGATTGATAGCAGTCGTCCACAAGCTACCAAATGACATTGGATCCTCCATTAAAGTGCTGGAAGATGAAGCAGTTGTATCATTTCTACCACTTTCAAACTTCAATTCATTCATTTTAATCTCTTCAAAATCTTCTCGCCTATTCAACAATTTGGTATCGCAAACACCGTTGCTAGGGATGACAGCACGATGAAAAATTCCAGGACTCACAAAATTTTGGTTAGAGGTCATTACGCTCTGACTGTCAAAATTTAAATTAGAAACTGCATTCTGGCTTGTATTCAGAATAATCACATTAGTGCAAGTGAGCGAGTTAATATTGATAGGGTGGATACATGACACGTTGTTCAACCTTTTTACATCACTCAAAGAATTACTTTTTTCTAACTTGTGGATTTCAGCCCAAGATGAGGATGCAATGGTTTGTTTAGTGCTGCTATTTAGTTTGTTGTTATTCAGTTGCTGGTTGTTAGTGCTACATAAATTAATTGATAACGTGGATGATAACTTTACTTTAGGCTTTTCGGCATCTGACGATTTTAATAAAGTGCCTGAAGAGAGAGATGTTTGTGATGGTCTTTCAATTAATGGTGGATATGCATTGAGGAGATTGTTTTTTGTAGGCCCAACCTGCCACTGCATCAGTTGTTGTTGCTGCTCCTTCAAAATTTGTAACGTTTCATATTTCGGTTTACTTTTAGTCGTTTGAGGAGGACCCTTGTACTCATGAAATTTAATTTGCTTTGGCTTCGTTGTACTCGGTTTTGTTCTAATTTTTTTTTGAGATTTTTGCTGTCGATAGGTTGAACCAGTAGAAACTGTAAAATTGTTTAATGAGATGTTGTGAGTAAAAATCGTTGATGTTGTAACAAGTGCTGAACTTGTTATTGTTGTCATCGTGGTTGTTGTTGTTGTTGGCAGTGATGATGAAGATAATGTGCTGGTCGCTGAATTTTTGACGAAAGATTTGTCATGCTGCATTTGAGTGATCCTAAGTAGCGGCATAATGTCTGGGGCAGGAGGAATGCTGGATGCATTGTTGGATGCATTGTTGGATACGTTAGATGCATTGTTGGATACGTTAGATGCATTGTTGGAAGTATGGAAAGAATCTGATGCAACAGCGCAAACATGAACATTTGCTAATGTGCTGGTTGCTGCCGATGTCTCAACATTGAAATATTTCTGCACAGGTGAGAAAGAGGAGAAGGAAGAAGGGGATGGAGAAGAATGGATATGAACATCAGCATTACGATCAAACATGAAACTGAAATTATTATTTTTAGTATAAGCAGTGACATCACTGTTGTAGCTATTTCTGTTAGCTAATGTGTTATCATCTGGTGAGAATGAAATGTCATTAGAATCTCCATCAAAGAGAGCTGATGTTTGCTCATTGGCAATTAAATTGAATTCACCAGCAGAGAAAAAATCAACAAAATCATCATCGTTGCTTGGAGGACTGACTGTGCTATCATGTGCTGCTGCTGCTGCTGCATTCTCATCACCTACAAGATATAATTGCATACTTTTATTATAAAGTATAAAAAGTAGAAACGCATACAAAGTTTAGTTGCCTCTGAATATTTTAAATATCAATACCTTTTATTATAAATATAATTTTGAAATTGAATATGCAACGTGCTCTAAAAATATTAAAATGACAAAAATAAGGCCATGATGAAAATGCACGTAGGAGATTGTATGCACCTGGCCGACAGCACAACAAACAATTTCATGTAACATTCATAATCTTCAATTATTCATATTAAATGATTCTTATTTCATGGATAAATTCAATAATAAAGAGTATTTTAATTCAATATATCCGAAAAATTTGGAAAGGTTAGTAACCATTTTGAGAGAGAGGTGATGCATCTTCATCAAGGAGCAAAATATTTTTTGAGAGCAAATCAAGAGGGCCCGGCCTATGTGACAGCAAGTCATTCAAGTTATCCTATGGTGTTGTTGTCGTTCATGTATATAGTCATCATGCCTTATTAACCTAATTTCATATTCACTAAATTTGTTCAACATCTTGTCATGTTGAATGGCAAATTTAACATCATAATATTTAACACTACACACTGTTCAATGTCATGCCTAACATCAATAATACTCAATTTATTTCAGTTGCAAGGATTTTTTGACTTTTAGTTTATAATAGCATTTTTTATCATAATAATAATAATATTATTTAAAAAACTGTTATTTATAGTAACGTTATTTACAGTAACAAAATTTATAATGATGTCATTGAAGAGAGGACCTGCAGTCTGAACTTCTTTAGCAACTTCTGTTTGTCTTGCAACGACCTATCAACCAATGGATGGGTGTCTGGTAAAAATATTCACCAAACAAATTCATAAAAATCAGGTAATTATACGTTATTTTGTAGTATTTTTGGTGGCTCACAAAACTTTTCTACAAATATACTAAAAATTAAACATTTAAGCATATAAGTTAATAGAAAATGAGCATACAGTGTAAAGGTAAATAATGTTTAAAAATGCGCACTTTCAAGGAAAGACAAATAAATGAAACAGCTAATGAATAGATAATAAATAAGTTTTGAACCTTCTAATATGTGATGTTGTACCAAACAATCTCTATCTGGTCTCAGTTTCAATTTTTTCTGCAAGGAATCTCTTGCCTATGATTTTATTTCAAAGCAACAATTAAACATTATCATAATGCATAAAATTCTGAAATAAAAATTGATGTTTATTTAGAGGAGAAAACATTTATCTAAAAAAACAATTAAAAAAATAGACACCTTAGCTTGTTCCAAGTGTCTTAGTTGTTCAGTGAATGCCATAGGTGTATTCAACTCTTTTCAATATTCAAAATTTACATTTATATATTATGTTAATTTCACTGCAAGTTTACAAATCTATGAATTGAATTGGTGTAACTTTCTTATAGAAGAATTAACAGTTACAAACCAAAAGTGAAAAAAAACAATCAAACAAACAGAGAATAAACTCACTTGGATATATACCCTGATTCACCAGCTCAGGAATTGTTCTTCTAAGTTTCAACCTTCTATTCAAACCTTTGAAGTATATCAAAAACTGTACAATGATGTGATAAAAAAAAGATCTTTTTGGATGATGTGTAATTAAAATTAAAGAAGAATGATATAATAATAAAGGCAAATATGCAACATTAATTAAACAAAACATCTAATCATTGTACTGTATATTAGATGAAAATTAACTAATTGCACGGTTTAGTTTAAAAAATTACACAAGAATGAATAATGGCAGACTCTCTTTATTAGATTCCATGGTATCTTGTAGTGACTTCTGTTCAATGTTTGGGTGAAAATTCATCCCAGTGGACCAAAGGGGATCATACATATCTTGCAGGGTTGACTGCAAACAATTGACAGATTGAGGTGTCAATAGAAATGAAGACAACAACTGTGATGATGTTGCATCTTTCTTTTCTAACCTACTTATTCTTCCATCTACTGATTCCTCAGTTGATGTCATCATCAAACCTGCCTTTACTTTTAATTACTTGAGAATTTTTTAATTTTCATTAATTTAAAAACCAGTTTGACATAACACATCCTTGAAAAAATTAAGAATATTTTATCAATTTTATTTTTATGTTCATAAAAAAATATCATTTAAAAATTATTATTTTAAATATTAAATAAATTAAATTAAAATTATACCTTGTCTTTACTACACATTAACAAAGTTTAAAATTTAAATGTTATAAAATTTATAATATAAATAAATAATACAATAAAAATCTTTAAAAAATTAAACTAAAACTAAAGTTTAATTAAAAAAAACAAACTGATTCTTGTGCCTATCAGCTTATCACTTATCTTAATTTAGTTTATTTATTTATTATTATTATTAATAAGAAAAGAATTGATTTATTTTATAAACATTATAAACGAGAAAACATAAAAACTTTCAAAAATTTAAATATATAAAAACTAAAAATGTTCAATTATTAAACTCCAGAAACTATAAAAATAATCAGGATTTTAATTTTTATTTTATTCAATCAATTCTTCAACTTTCATTCATTCAATTTCAATCAATTCAATGATTCTGTCAAAAAAAATTCTGTCAATGTGTTTTTTAGTATTTAAGATAAATAAAAAAGAGAAAACATTTTTGCATAAAAAAGAAAAAATAATTTAATTAAATAAAACTAATCGGACACGACTAGTAGACAACAAAATGTGAAGTTTATAATAAAATAAACAAAATTGACAACTCTCTTCACGACAATTTTTGTCACCAGGGAATAAATTTTTTAAAGTAATGTAACATTACATTATTCATATAACTAGAATAATCAATTCAACCAATCGGTCGGGCTATTTGACATGCTTGAAATCGCATGGATTTTAACGAGCAAGCTATATGAAATATTTACTTGACTTAATATGCTTAAAACATTTTAGTAATTCTATATATTTTTATTCAATAAAATTATGTATTATTAAATTATTTCTTGAATATAAAAATTGCTTTTGGTCCGGTGAAATCCGGTGGCTTACTGAAGCCGAAGGTTGGTTTACTAGGATTGAACTATAGTCACCCTTTTTTACACTATTCGATCATGTTAAAAATTTGTTTGCTTATGAAATAAACGGCCTAAATAAATTAAAATGGTTATTTGAACAACCATCTTTATTATATTCAATGAATCAATAAATCAATGAATCAATAAATCAATGAATCAGTCAGTCAGTCAGTCAGTCAGTCAGTCAGTCAGTCAGTCAGTCAGTCAGTCAGTCAGTCAGTCAGTCAGTCAGTCAGTCAGTCAGTCAGTCAGTCAGTCAGTCAGTCAGTCAGTCAGTCAGTCAGTCAGTCAGTCAGTCAGTCAGTCAGTCAGTCAGTCAGTCAGTCAGTCAGTCAGTCAGTCAGTCAGTCAGTCAGTCAGTCAGTCAACCAACCAACCAATCAATCAATCAACCAATCAATCAATCAATCAACCAATCAATCAATCAACCAATCAAATCACACAATCAACCAACCATTCAAACAACTAGTCGACCAACCAATCAAATAACCAATCAATCAACCAATCGAATTAAATTTTGAATAAAATATTTTTAAAACTCGCTCGCGTTATTTCATTGAAATCGATATTGGAGATATTCGTATATAAAGCGAGCAAAATTTTAATATAAAAGCGCTTATCAATCTAAGCATATTGGCTCAGCTTGGCTTGGCTCGGCTTGGATGTTAAGCAAGGTGTAGTCTCAGACTATTTTTAATTCTTCCCTAAAAATTTGAACTGCGTGCGCACATATGTAGCACTGATTACTCTTGCTTTATACTATATATATAAAGTGAGCAGGATTTTAATATAAATAAAGCGCTTATAAATCTACGCATTGACTCAGCTTGGCTTGGCTCGGCTTGGAATTGCATGTTAGGCAGATTCAACCAGCCAATTAGAAAGTTTCGAAGACGCCTGTCGGCTTCTTTGCGTTTCTCTATTTTCATTTGAATTAATTAAAAAATAAGATTTTCCTATTCATTTAGGTTCATTCAGGTTCATTCATTTAGGTTGAAGCTTCCAGAGGAGTTCATTGTGGAAGATCAGTGGCAAAGAATGCACGCCTGGTTAGGGTTTGTTTTATGGTTTTCTGCGGTTCCTTTTTTGCCAGTTGGCTGGCTTTTCCGGCTGGCGGGTTTCACCACGGCTCGTTTCTCTATTTTAATTTAAATTAAATAAATGACTGACTGACTGACTGATTCATTGAATATAATAAAGATGGTTGTTCAAATAACAATTTTAATTTATTTAGGCCGTTTATTTCATAAGCAAACATTTTTGTAACATGATCGAATAGTGTAAAAAAGGGTGACTATAGTTCAATCCTAGTAAACCAACCTTCGGCTTCAGTAAGCCACCGGATTTCACCGGGCAGCAATTTTTATATTCAAATTCTATAAAATAAAAATATATAGAATTACTAAATGTTTTAAGCATATTAAGTCAAGTAAATATTTCATATAGCTTGCTTGTTATAATCTATTCAATTTCGTAAGCCAGTAATCCAAGCATGTCAAATAGCCCGACCCTTGACTCGAATAATAACAAATCACCCTTCAAAGCTTCTCCGAAGTGACCTCCCTGTTCGACCGTTAAAAGTAAGCGAAGTCCGTTATATTTATTCTAGTTATGTTATTTATATGGTCAAATTTGATTATTTTGTAAAGGAGAAAAACATGTGCTGTTTTATCGGTAAATGGTACGGTAAATCAGAACTATTGTTTAAATGTAAATTTAATTCAAAATGAAAATTTTTTTTTTTGTTTTTTGCTTGGCTTTCTAATTTTATAATTATACTTTAATAACTATTTCCATCATTTAGCTAAGTGACGATTAAGTTTTGTCAATAATTAGCAAATAAACACAATCACCAATGTCTGTTTCCAAGTGCGAAGATGAAAAGATTTCAAAAGCGATTGAGGCAAAAATTGAAAGAAATAGGCAGAGAGCTCTGCTAATCCGGCAGGAGAAAGTTAACAAACGTTTGCACTCATTAGATGAAGACAATCATGTAAAAAATCAGGTTTCTAATGAATGTGACGAAAGGTTATTATATAAAAAATGTACTAACTAATATGAAACATGCTGTGATTTTCATCAATAAATGCATTTCTGAAAGTCTTAGTCCAACTTATATAAATATTATTGTTTGTCAAATGAACATCATTGATATTGTAAATAAAAACCTATTTTTTTAAATGCTTTAAGCCACTACTGCAGTAAAAAATCCACATGGGTATTACCTAAAAATGATGATACAGGCGCTGGTGGCTTTTTAAAGGAAGATCATCCTGATTCAAAAGTTAAACTTGTTCACAAAAAAGGTTTTTTTTTCAAATTATGCCCTTTGTTAAGCTTTTTAATTATATATTATTATAAAATGAAAATATTTTATAATTAACAAAATGAAAAACCTTTTGTGTTTTTAAATAACCTCATTTTGTTGAATATACCTGTAAATTTTTTTGTTTTTATTTCATAGGCGGCTTATTGTATAATCACGAGAAACCAATCTGTGAAGATTGCAAATCAACATTTTCAGATTCATTTTTGTTTGACCATTTTTTAAAATCAGTTTGTGACAGTTGCAGGTTGTCATTACCTTTATTTGCTTTTTATTTAACTGTATGCATTGCCCTACTAATATTGAATTGATATCCAGGGATAAAGAAGAGAAGCATAGGTTGATAACAAAAACTGAGGCCAAAGAGAGATATTTATTGAAAGATTGTGACTTTGAAATAAGAGAACCTGTGTTAAAATATGTTTTGAAAAAAAATCCTAATTATAAAAAGTTTGGAGAGATGAAGCTATATTTAGAGTGTCAGGTAAGTACAAAAATATCTCATCAGTTCAGTATAGCTTCACGTTTAGCACTTGGTTTACAATTTTTTAAAAGGTAGCAGAAAGGGCTTTTGAAGTTTGGGGCAGTGATGAAAAGTTAGAAGAAGAAATTGAGAGAAGAAATGAAAACAGAAACAAAGCCAAGAAAAAAAAATTTGACAGAAAAATTCAAGGTCTGTCTTTGATGTTATTGTGACTAGTTTTGATTGCTTTTATTTCTTTTGGGTGATGCTATTTTCAACAGATCAAAAATTAATATAGTTTCATAATTCACACAACATTTTCAGATCTAAGAAAGTCGGTGAGAAATAGCTTATATGAGAACAAGTCACACGCTCATGAACACGAATTTGGAGAAGAGAGCTATCGAGAAGTTGACGACACTTATTCCAAAGTTTGCAGAACCTGTGGATTTGTTAGCACTTATGAAAAAATGTAGGCCATGGAAAGCAGTTTGTGCTCAGACAAAATTTACAATTTATCATTTTACCGTTATTTTTGCTTTTTTCATATACCTTTTGTTCATCTTATTGTAGTGCGCAATACATTCTGCTTGTTTTTTTATTTCTTAATTATCTTTCTACTCAACATATAAATACAATAATTTTTATTTACCTATTTATGTTTTTACGCCCTACCTCGGGGAACCGGGTCTCTGGATGCAAAACGAAGATTGATTGATTGATATCTATGTTTTTATTGGTTGAAAAATGAAACATTATAAAAATAAGTTTTGTACACTATTGTGCATAAAATAAATTATAAATACACTAAGGTATGTATGAAATCAGATTGACATGCAAGTTATAAAATCACAAGCTGTGCTCCAATTGATTGCTACTTACCAGGGTTAATAGTAATGCAATAAAAAGATGACAATAGTAATGCAACGTTATCTTTTACAGGTGAAAAAATATTAGAAAACAAAATTTTTTGGAAAAATTCCTGTTTGGTTGTGAATGTTCCCCAGCAGCCAATCATCATCAACCTCTTTCAGTACGTTTATCACTTCACCGGCTCTGAAGTTTAAATCTCCCTGATGTTCACTCTGAAAATCATAAAGTGCGATAACTTTTCTTGGTAGATTTGAAGAATAATTTGCAGGGCTTGACTTTTCCTTTTCGTTAAGTTCATGTACAGTTTGAAACCTGCAGAAATTATATTTTTTTTGTTGTCAACTGGTTTTTAAAAATAGCACATAATCTAATTGAACTTACATTTCAGTACTATCGATATTGAAATCAACAAATGAAAGTGGTAAAATCCCTCGTGATACGATTTCGTTTTCATTCATTTCACCTTCTATCCATTCATCATTAACTTTATTGGTGACAATAATGAGCTGTCCTGCTTTGAAAGATAACTCTCTGTTCTCTTTCTCACCACGAAAGTCGTACCTGTCATTGTTTGTCGTTTTGATGTTCATCATCATGTTTAGTGGTGATGGATCTAGGGGGAGGGGGCCAGTGCCTGTCCCCGTTGTGAGCTGTATTTGTAATAAAAGTCAGCAAAACTCATTGTTTCAACAGAAAAGTACCGTTTTATTTGGAAATCGACCAAAAATAGACACTACCGCAAATGTCATTATCTTGGCCCCACCGTGAAACTGCTCCCCCCCCCCGTAAAATTTTGAACGCTTTCAAAATTTTGGCCTCCCCCGTTAAAGTTGTCTATATTCGCCATTGATCAAGTTCAATCTTGTTAAATTCACTAAGATTTTCATTTTACTAACGCTCATCTTCTTATAGATAGTTGGTACATGTGTTAAATGATAAGGATTTTATATGATTGGAAAGCTATGATTACAATTATTGATCTCGATTATTCCGTAATTCATTCTTAGCATAAATTAATGCAATGAAATGAAGAGAAAATTAATAATGTAACCCACAACGCTCGACAAAGTTTAGTTTCTTGTGAAGCATCACATTTGTTTTCAATCTGGCTTTTGTCATCAGCACAGTGATCTTCGACAATACATACTTTGTTTGCAGCATCACAACAGACGTCACCATCAGCAGTCGTTGCGTGGACTGGCAGAGGAACAAGAACCTGAACGAAACTTGAAGGGAACATGCCCTGATGAATTTTTGAATTTTCAGGTTCAGCGTCGTTGATTTTCAAGTGGCCTTTCATCCATTCATCACCCACCCAACTATCTAATGTTATTTCATCATTAGCCTGTAGTATACGATTTATTAAGTTAATTTCTTTTAGTTGAACTACATGAATTCACCAAGATTTGATGATAGGTTGTAATCTGTACATTCAAATTTTTAGCAATACATAACCTTAAACTTTAAATCTTCTGGATGTCCTGAATCATAATCAAACAAAGCAACTGCCAATGGAACTGAAAGTAAGAAATTTATGTTTTTTAAAAAACAAAATCAAATGTTTGTTGAATATATTCTTGTAGACCTGGTTGTTGGTTGATTTTTGGTGAAATATTTGGTCTCTTAGGTTGAGGTTTCGATGGCATAACATGCACATCATCTGACACTTTAAATTGAGCTTGAGTGATGTTGTGTCTTTCTGTAGCCTGCATGTCCTTCTCTTCATTTTCCAGCTTCTTAGCATTCAAGTGGTTGTCTTTTCTAATCAAATCAATACCTTCAATGCATGTGTCTATTTTATTATTTACCTTACTGACAATTTTATTTTCTTTTTTATTCAATGAAATCATAGACATAGAAAGTGAAGGTTTGGGCTTGATGATTGTTGGCTTTTGAGGAATATTTGAAGTTTTTCTCAAGGTTATAACCTCATGGTTTTCATTTGAACTTGCTTGATCTTCAAACGATTTTGATAAGCTTGTATCAATTGATTCTTCACAAATTAATTTGTTTGTGTATAAAGTTTTGGGTCTAATTATTGTTAAATTATTATTCATTAATTTTTTCCTGCTTACAACATTAGAAGTTTGTTCTTTAGAAGCGCCACAATTGTTGTTGTGAACGTTGTCCATCCAATTTCCGCCAAATTTCATTTTCAATTCTTTGAATGCTATAGATTCAGTGCAGACATCAGGGGTATAATTAGATTTGGGGATATCATTTACTAATTCTTCATCATCCTTTTTTATTCCAGCATTCACATTAGAATTAAACTTGGAATCTAAAATACTGGGAGAGGTACATTTAGTTGTGTTTAAACTTTTCCTTGTTACAGGGACTGGATTGATCTTGGACTTCAAAATTACTGGGAAAATTGAATTTAATAACAATTGAGTATTGAGGGTAGCTGATCACATTTAATAATTAATATCATCAAATGTGATTAAGATTATAAAAGTGATAATAGTAATAATTAGTATTGTATTATTTATTATTATCATTATATTATATTACCTCAAGATAACAAGTTTATATAACTTGAAATTATATAATTTAACATATGACACAAAACAACTAGCTAGCCCAGCACATCATAACTTAGAAACGTTTTGTAGGCAGACAAACCAATAGAAACAATGCTTTTTAATTTGTGATACAATTTAACAAACTAGTTTCAAGTGTAAAGTGCATGAATGGTTTACAAACCTGGAATCGGTGGTCTGGGTGGTTTTTTTGGAGGATCGTATGTTAATTTAACTTTATCATCACCATCAGTATTGTCCTTGCTATAAATGTTAGCAGTAATGTTGTTGGCGTTGTTAAACAATTGGATTTGCTTTGCTATCGATTCAATATTTTTGAATTCAAAACATTTCTTTTCAGTACAACTTTTGAAATCACTGGCAGACAATGGCTCTGCACTTATTACTGTTATCACCGGTCTCTTCCTCACATATGACGACATTTTTTATGGCAATCGTTTACTTTAAATGTCAGAATAAGGCCGTCAAATGCTGTCTAATTAACTTTTAAGCCGCAACACCTGACTTTCATTGATTAAGATAGAGAGAAATGTGCTGTTAACACTGTAAGGTAATTTTATTCTTAATTTATACATCGGCGAATATTGGATGGAAATATTTATTTTCCAACGTACGTTTTACATAAGGAATAGTTTAAAATTTGTAAATTTACATATTAGTAAGTATTTTTAAACTTTTATCTTTCCTTGATGATCCTAATTAAACCAAAACGCCCAGCGTTTGCTTTATCTAGTCCTTTTCTCTGCAACTCTCTACCTCGTCTAAATAGGTTACTCCATCACTTAGATAGTTCAAAGCAGATCTCAAGACCCATCTGTTTTTGTGAAATTCATTGAGGAGCGCTGTTGAACATCGCAGAAATGACGATTGATTGATTGATTGATTGATTGGTTGGTTGGTTGATTGATTGATTGATTAAACATTAAAATATAACAAATGATTTCTTTTGCAAAAAATGTTACATAATTTTCAATCAGAACCTATAGTGAATAATCATGCTTTCAGACTTCGGTCATTAAAATTTTAGGGAGAACATCTAAAAACTGTTCATGCGTAACATAACGATCTCCGATGAATCTGTTAATCATTTGCGTAATCAGATAAAAACTATTAATTTTTATTTAATTTTTTCAATAATTTGTTCACATGTGAATTATTGACACCATAACTTGACAGAACTGCTCCAATGGCTCATATCATATCGCGAACTACGACCGTTTGTTAATCACCGTCGTTGGCTGTTGGAAGTGTATAAAAATTTACTTTTTGTTTTTGATTTTTATTAACTGAATTAATAAATTATTTAATTTAGTAATTGAAACTAATGTCAGAAAGATGATGATTTCAAGATGACTTTGAAATAAAATAGTAATTAATCAATTTCCGCTGGTTTCGCTCGATTGATTGTGTGTGAGGTCGCCATCTTAACTTTGTTAAACAAACGCATTAATTTTTATTTCAATGGAGTTTTTATTAATCATTAATTTTAATAGAATTAGAGACACGGCGGAATGTTGATTTACAAATTGGATCATTTATAAAACTTAAATTCTTGGTATTTGACCCATCCGATGTTACGGACTTTCTTTTATCTCTACAGCCATCATTAAAAAAGGATTTCTTCATTTAATAATATAATATTTAGGTGCTAAAATCTTGTTTTAATTTTTGCCAGTTATTGATCATAATTTTACTCGCAAATACACATAACAAAATATTTCAAAAATATTATATTAAAGTTCTTCTTTAATAATGTTAATAAGTTAAGTCCACAATAATTGGAAAACTGTATTTTGACATTTTTACAACCATTTGCAAACTGAACTGGTCTACTCTGCACATTTCACAGATGTCTTGATTCAAACTTCACAAGATAATGGAGGGTCCACCTGCAAAAAGAACAAAAATATGTCAGCCATCAACAGCGGATGCAGGTATGCATTTGTTTTGTTCACAAAATAAATATTTCCATTGTATTTGGTTACTTATATGAATGTCCTAGAATTTATATTCATATCTTGCTCATTGACGTGGTATTGTTTCAGATTCATGGTCTTTTATGTCTGATATTGAAAGCAAATTACCGGATGAATTATCTACATCTGCAATGACATATGAAATATCAAACAGTTTGGAAAAAAATGGAAATAAAGCTAATCAAATGAGAAACAATTCTTTGACTATAACACTAGCCGGTTCCCAGCAGCAACCAGATGTTGCATTTTGTAATACATCGCAGAGCAATGTTGTGTTAATTACTTGTTGTGCGCCATCAATCACTTCAACACCTAATGTTATGACCAATGTTTCAGCATCTACTTTGCAACAGCATTTGATGAAACAACAGAAACTGCTTAACAGTCAAGCACAGCAGATAGTTACAATCTTGCCACAATCAACTTCCTCCTCTTCAATGTCAGGAGGGCATTTTCAAGCATCACCATCAAACAATATCCAACCCGGTGCTAAACTCAATTTTCCAGTGGCTCTTAACAGCAACAACAACAACCACAATGTTAATAATAACAACAACAATGTTCTTTCTAATGATAATAATTCTCAAAACAGTATGAACCAACAAGCCCGTCAGAATATAATGACCATTGTTGTCCCAAACAGATCAGCAAGTCAGTCAGCATTATCTCAGCAATTTCTTTTCAATGGTAATATTCTTGCCTCTTCAAATCAGCTCAATGTTACCAACTGGTCTCCTGGCATCAACAACAATAACAACATTGCAAATACATCAATTTTTACCAGCACCAACAACAACATCAGCAACAACATTAACAACAATATAATTTTAAATAAAAGTGGAATGCCTTCTGTTATTGACAGCAATAACCCCCAACGTTTTCTTGCTGTCCAACCACGATTCAGTACATCAGCAATTCAAAAATATGTCTTAATAAGTACTGCTGCCAATTCTCTTTCCACCTCCATCAACAACATCATTTATGCCAACAATCTTAGTACCAGCATCCTACCTAGCAATAACAACAACAGCTTTTTAAATCATAATTTAAATAGCAACATAGTGATGAATAACAACTCTTTTGTTGATGTGAATGATGGTAACAAAACTGTTTTGACAAATGCTGATAACGTGAACATAAACAACATCATCGTCAACAATGGAATTCCCAACAACAACAACAACAACAACATTGTCACAAACAATAGTGACTTGATTACAACACCAAGAATAAGAGGTATATCATTTTTAGCACAGCCTAATCAGCTGCAACAACAAGTTAATTTGCAACAAACACAAATACAACATATACAGCAGCAGCACCAACAAAATAATGTGGACACACCTAATATTTCCATGGTTTGTTTGCATTTCTTTATTTAACATTTTTCATGTAGTTTTTCAATTTGATGATGAAATATTTTATTTTTTTTCAAATATAGCTTTCTAGTAGGTTGAACAATCAACAACTGGACCAACTGCAACAGCAGCAGCTGCAACAAAATCAATTGCAACAGTTGTTTATACAGCAACAGCACCAACCAACCCCACAAATTGTCAATAACCAATACACATTCATTTCAACTTCTGTTTTTAATAACTTATCACCTCACTCAGCTCTTTCGAATAACAATATTTTATCATTAACAACAACAACAACACCATCATCATCATCTACAAATATATCTAAAAATCACTTGGATGTACAGCCATCGTCATCATCATCATCATTCTCAACACTGAATGCTATCAGTACAGCCTCTACAACAAGACCATCATCGTCTTCATCTTCAACGTCAAAAGCAACATCAGATCCCAACAAACAAAACTTGATTAGACAGCAGCTGGTGTTGTTGTTGCATGCACACAAGTGCCAGCGAAGAGACCAGGAGATGTTAAGCCTCAACAAAACATTGACGCCATGCCAGATGCCTCACTGTCAAACTATGAAGCATGTCCTGAAACACATGGGCGAGTGCCAGAAGGGAAAGGCTTGCAAGGGTTAGTTGTGTTTTTGATATTTAGCTGAATTGCTGAATTTAGAATATCCTAGCAAATGTGGAATAACTACTTGATTTTTTTAATTTCTCAGTGCCACACTGTGCATCCTCTAGGCAGATCATTACACATTACAAAAACTGCCCACGTAGTGATTGCACTGTTTGCCTGCCAATCAAAAATCCTGGTCAGTATGCCCTTGCATCATCATCATCATCATCATTGCCGTCGTCGTCTTCTTCATCATCGTCATCATTGACAGCCTCATCATCTTCGTCATTGATGCCGTCAGCACTGACATCTGCATCCACAACAGCTGCAACAATGTTTGCCCAGGCATCCACAGCAGTAACAAGTGTTCCTCCTCTTTCTAACCAGCCAGATGTTATGCCTCAACAAAATCATCAGCATCATTTGTTTCAGCAGCAGCAGCAACAACAACCCAACCTGATGCTTGCCTACGAAGCCTTGGGCTTGTCTGCTGAAGAGATTAGTTTGCAAAATGTATGTTATTAAATAATTATTTGTAATTTAATTTCCATTTTAACTTGCTCATCTGGTTCTTTATTAATTATAAATTGTGCATATTATTAGAATATTGTTTGTCAGTCTAACATTTTTTGATTGATGATAGACTGTTGCTGCAAGACATCGGATGTTACAACTGCATCAACAACAACAACAACAGATTCAACAACAACAGGCATCACCTACATCACAAGCAGTATCACATCAAGAACTGATAACATCTTCAGATAATATGCACATTGATCAGGCTAATAATTCTATTTGCTTTGGGGGTGGAGAAAGTTATAGTTATGGAGGACAAAATGGAGGAGGTGCAACTAATCACTTAAATAGTTCTGGGGGTCCAGTTGAGGTAAGGACACCTGTTATGAAACAATGGCATCAGAGTATAACCCAGGATCTAAGAAATCATCTTGTTCATAAACTGTTAGTGCTTTGTTTGATGAGGTTGTTGCTGCAAGTTGTTCATTGGTTGCTAATCTTATAGAAAAACATTTCTGTTTTTGGTACTGTTGTTGTTGATGATGACTTTGTGTATTGATGTTTTTATTTAACAGAGTTCAAGCCATTTTTCCAACCCCTGATCCAAGTTATTTAAAGGACTCTCGAATCCGAAATCTTGTTCAATATTCACGGAAAGTTGAGGGAGACATGTACGAGAAAGCAAACAGTCGGGTTAGTTTCTGGCTCATTCATTTATTAGTGTGTCTGTGTGTTTGTGTGTGTTTAGGAAGATTTTATAGCAAGCATGTAGTCAGACAACCTTATACACCATCAATAATAAAACAGGAAGAATATTACCACTTACTGGCGGAGAAAATTTATCGAATACAAAAGGAGCTGGAGGAGAAGAAATTGAAACGCTCGCAGCAAGAACAGCTGCTCCTCACACAGCGACAACAACATGAAATCAACAGCAGCAGCAACAACATGAATAACCTAAACAGACACAACAACCCTTCAAATTTCAGGATACCACTTGTTAACTTACGGCTGCCACCACCACAAAGTTCCTATTAATTTAATTTTAATGCTTTTAATCACCAATGAATGAAACTAAGTTTTTTCTGTTTCCAGTTTTTATTAACATAAAAAATGATGATATGATTATATGAAATTGCATTGAAAGGCAAAAATAAATTTCTACCAAATTTTTCTTAACCATCCTACAAAGCTGGTTCACTTGTTCCCTCCATGCGACAGCCAGCCAACATAAATTCACCTATCAATCCATTGGTTAGTGAGGTACATACAGTAGAATTTCGTTATAATGTACTTCAATGGACAGGTAGAATTGTTATGTCACGTCCGAGGTACGTTCTCACCCACGCAAAAATTCATGAAACTTTATAGGCAAATAACAATTTGCTAATTAATCTTGAAAAGTGTGCGTTTTTACAATAAAATAGTTTTAAAGTTTAAATATTAAAATTGGAAAATTTTAATGGTTTAGAAAAATCTTTTGGCTGATTTGTGATCAAAATCTAATGCCTCCCATGTTCTTTTAATTCATCTGACATCTTAGGAAATAGAACAAAAGAGCAAAAATCCATCAATTAAATACCATGCAAATAGCGGACTAGTTTATTAATAAATTGTTTTAAACATCTGTTCAGTTATCTTCAACAAATCAAACTTTTCTCCAAGTGAGTCTTATAGGCTTATATAAAAAAAATAATATAATGGATTTTTTATCAACGAGTCAAAATTTTGGTGATTTTCATCAGAAATGCCTTACATTTGCGTATGTTTGGACCATAAACTATTGTACTCTATATCTGAAGGTACTTGTATCCGAGACCATTGTAACGAAGTTTTACTGGATATATATCGTTATGTATATCACCATCGTGAGGTGCTATTTATATATCTGTATGTGTGTGTGTGTGTGTATTGCTGAGAAATGTATTGCATTTTTTAACAATTGTATCTGCGACCTTATTATATATATATATATATATATATATATATATACACAACACAACAACAACACACGTTTAGATGGCATTTTCCCCAAGATCGGGGGTTGCCGTTTGGCTACCTATGATGAAACCGAAATACCCCTCGACGCCATCCACATCTGTCACTCGCCTCAGTATCACGCAACCCCGCTTTCACCCTGTCCTTCTCCACCTGCTCTCTCCATCCCAATCGCGGACGACCCCTTCCTACCACTCCTTCAACCTCGAACTCCAACGCTTGTCTAATCCCGACCCTTTCATCCCTTCTCAACACATGTCCATACCACCGCAATCTCGATCTCCTTATCAATGTCACAATGTCCTCATTCAGTCTCATCATTGACATCAGCTCTGTACTACTCCTCCTATCCTTCACTTTAACCCCACACATCATCCTCACCATAGCTCTTTCAGCCCTCTGCAGTACACTTTCCTCCTCTCTCCTCAACACCCAAGTTTCACCACTATATACCATCGCTGCTCTCACACATGCTTTATATACCCTCCCTTTCATCTTCACTGACCATTTCTTTCCACACAATACCCCACCCAGTTCCCTAAATTTCATCCATCCCACACGAACTCTAGCCGTAACTGCACTCAAACATCCTCCATCCGCATTCAGCTTATCCCCTAAGTAAACAAAGCTTTCCACTCTTTCAATACCACCACTCAACCCCGTCCTTGCGTCCGTCCTATTAATCACACCATGAACACATTTCTTACATTTGAACGTGCCTTCCACCTTTATCAGTGCCCCCCTCACACCACTACATCTCTTATGCACCCATTTCTGACATCCTATACACAATACCGAGTTAGCCTTCACTCTCCTATCACATACCCCACAGGGGTCTATTTTACTTATCACTCGCTCTCCACCTTCCCCACTCACCATTACCTTCGTCTTACCAATATTAACTTTTAACCCTTTCTTTTCAATAACACTTTTCCATCTGTCAAATTTTAACTGCAATTCTTCCATGCTATCAGCCATCAAGACTAAATCATCTGCATACAAAATCTCAAATAACAACCCCTCCATTATGTTTCCACACACAACATCCATCACAATTGCAAACAGAAACGGTGATAACACTGATCCTTGATGCACTCCTACCTTAACACTAAAAGCGTCCGACATCCCCCTTCCAACCCTCACCTTTGTCTTTGCCCCTTCATACAGCTACATCACAGCTTTAACAAGTCTCTCATTCACTCCTTTCTTCCTCAACGCCCATTCAATGACCTTTCTTGGTACTCGATCAAAAGCCTTTTCTAGATCCACAAAACACATGTACAAGAAGAAAGAAGATGTACATGTACATCTTCTTTCTATAATTCTCCTGCAACATTCTCACCATGAACAACGCATCCACCGTTCCCCTACCAGGCATAAACCCACACTGCATTTCATTAACTGTCACCATACTTCTCAACCTCCTCTCAAGCACCCTCTCCACTACCTTCATTTCGTGCTCTAGTAATTTCACACCCCTGTATGACCCACAATCTCTCACATCTCCTTTGCCCTTATACAACGGCACCAACACACTGTGTCGCCAATCCTCAGGTATACCTTCATCATCAAACATACTGTTAGCAATTCTCATCATAACTTCAATTCCTATCACCCCACTCGCTTTAATATGTTCTGCCGCCACTTCCGAAACCCCTGTCGCCTTACCTAGTTTCATTTCTCTAACTGCTTTCTCTACTTCCTCCATCGTCACCTTCTCTATAGGTCCGTGTGTGACCGCGGATTCCACATCTCCATCCCACTCATTCTCTTCATTCATCAACCTTTCCATATGAGCTTTCCACACCTGAGCTTTTTCCTCCTCATCTATGCACAACTTGCCAGATCCATCCCAAACACATCCATTCCCTATAACATCTTTCCTATCCCTCATTGACTGCTTTGCTACTTTGAACATTTTCCTCGAACTCACATCAAATTCCATTTCCTTCATTAACCTATCTGATGCTTTCGTCATTGCAGTTGCCACTGCCTGTTTTGCAACCTTCTTAGCCTTCCTATACTCAGACTCCGCTTCCTCCGTCATGTCCCTTCTCCATACCCTAAACCTCTCCTTCTTGACTTCCAAAACCCTTCTTATATCTTCATCCCACCACCACGTCTCACCATGCCTACACTTTCCTTTCGCCCATCCACATACTTTATCTGCCGTAGCCAACACACAGTCCCTGTATCTCTCCCAAACATCTCTATCCTTACCACTCTCCCTATTTTCAGCCACCTTCACTTCAAATGCCTTCCTCACCTCTGCATCCTGCAACTTCCATGTCTTTCTCTTTGCCACAAACTTATCCTTCTTCCTCCTCCCCATTTCTTTTGATGTCACATCCATCACAACCATACTATGCTGCAACATACCAGGTATCGCCTTCACATTCTTCACATACTTCCTTTGTTTGGCCCTTACCAATATATAGTCTATCATCGATCTATGTTCCCCTGACCTATAAGTAATCAATCGCGCTGGTTCCCTTGTGAACCATACTATGCTGCAACATACCAGGTATCGCCTTCACATTCTTCACATACTTCCTTTGTTTGGCCCTTACCAATATATAGTCTATCATCGATCTATGTTCCCCTGACCTATAAGTAATCAATCGCGCTGGTTCCCTTGTGAACCAAGTATTCCCCACCACCATGCTATGTGCACCCGCTAACTCCAACACTCTACGCCCTTCCTCATTCCGTATACCATATCCCCATCCCCCATGTACACCTTCATATCCGTCTGCATCCGCCCCCACATGACCATTCAAATCACCCAACAACACCACAAACTCATTCAACCCCGCTTGCCCGATCTCGTCAGAAACATCATCATAAAACCTATCCTTCTCCTCTTCCTTCCTACTTTGTTGCGGAGCATATCCTGATATCACCCTCACTATTACTTTTCCAAACACCATCACCACCACAATTACCCCATTGCTTCTCCGCCTCACTTCCAACACCTTCTCCACCAACTCTTCTCTTACCATCACACCAACTCCTCCCGTACCATCATCCCCCTTCCACCACAACTTATATCTTCCACCTTTAGCCTCCACAAACCTTGTACCCTCACCCTTCCATCTGATCTCCTGTAATGCAGCCACGTCAACCATTCTCCTCTGCAGCTCCTCCACCACTTCCAAACTTCTTCCTGTCAACGTGCCTACATTCCAGGTACCAAACCTCCAATCCCTTGGTCTACAAGTAGTCCTTCCATCTATAGTGCCTTGCACCGCCACACTATAGAGTGGGGTGCCAGTAGCCAGACCATCCACAGGGCCTTGCACCACAACCCCATGGACTGGGTCTCCGGAGATTCTTCGCACCCTCTTCTGCCGGATACTGAGGGCCATTGTTTTTTCCGTCATCATAAGTATTATTATTTGGCTAGTTTTTACACAGGACGCCCTTCCTTACGCAACCACAGTTATAAGCGGTGGGCCTAGCCTTTGATGATCCAACATCACTCACAAGGCAGTGAGGGTCAGTTTAATGTCATAACCAGGACACTCATAACCAGGACACACACACATATATATATATATATATATATATATATATACATACGAGGTTTTATTGTATATATATATATATGTGTGTGTGTGTGTGTGTGTGTGTGCGTATGCGCGTGAAGATTAAGAAATAACTGTTTATATTTATGTACGAAATGTTTATCATTCAGCCATTCCTGCTACTGTATATTTAATGCATGCATATTTACAGTTTACTTGTTTTTGTTGCCTGTTCATTCAGCTGCCTCCTCCTGTATCGCCACGGCCATCAACATCATTGTCCATAGCAGCAGCAAGCACAACATCAAGTAGCATCAACAGCTTGAATTCCCCGCAACAACAGTTGAAAAATATTCTCATCAAACAGGTCTGATCAAATTTCATTCCCACCTCCTTTATTCCCTTCAAGAGTATGCTGTTGAGAATGTTAAATAGCATGCCTATGATCTCCTTATTTAATAAGAACTCATCACTAAATGATTTAACTGTTACACACATAATAAAATAATAATTGTAGTTATTTATTATCGTCGTTACTACTGCGCAGAGCCTGGAACAGCAGCAGCACCAACAGAACCTGAACAAATGCCGCATGCTTCCATGGCCAACGAGTCATTTTGCATCTCCTACATCATCATCATCGTCATCATCGCCTTCATTCATTCTCCCCACACATTCACCTTCTTTCAATAATTCATTTGGTTCATCCTCGACACCTCCAGTGGTTGTTGGTGGTGGTGGTCCACAAGGTGCTGGCATTGTAAAGAAAGATGTGGGGTTCGTTCACTCTGTTTCTCTTTACTTGATGTGTGTTTTTTGGTAGTCATGACAAACGTGATGCCATCTCGTGATCATCTTCCATTCTTATTTGGTCTGTTCTTATCACACAGGTCTCAAGACTCTATCGAAGATACTCAGATAAAAATTAAAGTTGAAGAAAATTTAAAAGAGGATGACGATATTAATCTATCGTTGTCGTCATCATCGACGAAAAATGATAATTATTTCAAAGTGGAGCCAACAACATCATCACACATTGCTGGCTCACATAAACAAGTTAAAGAAGAAGTGGAAGATGGCAAGTCACAGGCTTTCTTACAGCAACAACCACATCAACAGATTGATGGTGGCAAGTTGCTTCCAACTTCAAATGTCGAAAGTAAAGTTAACATCTTCTCCACATGTGAGGCAATAACATCTTCATCGACATCATCACCATTACTAAGTAGAACCAATGTGCCACAAACAAAAATTGGCAAATTTATGAGTAATTTTTTCAGTTTTAAACAATTTTCAATGTTTAATGAAGTTTATTTATTAACTTATGTGGTAGATTCGTGCAGATTTATAATGGAGGACACATATTTGAAAAATATATCGAATCAAGTGATGCAGGCATGCAGTGCGGCTGCCTTCTTCAAAATATTGAGATTGGGATCAAATTTTTTAAATTTTCATCTGTTTTATGATATTTTCTTCATGTAGGTGATAAATAATAACTGAATATAATTTAGAAAGAAAGACTTAAATTCGTTCTTTTCAAATTCTTGCATTTACTGTAAGCAAACGTATTATGTACTATACTAGTCAGTTGTACACACATGCATGAAAATAAACACGAGTACTTGTATGAACACACACACACAGCTTGGAAGCCAAATGAATTGAGGCTACATTTGTTGCCGACATTAGAAAAGTTGTACAGATTGGATGAGTCCATCCCTTTTAGACAACCTGTTGATCCAGTGCTCTTGCAGATACCCGTACGTTACAGATAGTTGTTTGTTGTTTTGCTGTTGTTCTACATTATGTTGTTGTATAGTTGTAACATTTGCATAGCACAATATTTTGAATGTTTAGCGTATAATTGATTGACATAGCTTAGCTATAAAACTATTTCAAACTATACAAAACGTTTATTCGTTCAATGGGTGGACTGACTGCAGGATTATTTTGACATCATAAAACACCCGATGGACCTGTCGACAATCAAACGAAAGTTGGACACAGATGGTTACCAAGACCCATGGCAGTATGTAGAAGATGTGTGGCTCATGTTCGAAAATGCTTGGATTTATAACAGGAAAACATCGAGAGTGCACAAATTCTCTACCAAGGTACACTCTTTATACTCTTTCTTCTTTCCTTCCACATTTGTGTACTTACATATAACTTTTGCTACATTCAGCTGTCTGAGGTGTTCGAAGGAGAGATAGATGGTGTGATGAGGGCGCTTGGTTTCTGTTGTGGCAGGAAGTACATGTTCTCTCCACAGGCTCTCTGCTGCTATGGAAAGGCAATGTGCAGCATTCCGGTCAATGCTGTCTACTACAGCCATCAGAATAGGTCAGTGACTCTTGTTACCCTTGACCATCGTCAGGAGAATGATGATGGTGATGAGGTCGTGATGGTGATGGTGATGATGACGAGAACAACGATGATAAATTTACTGCAGGTATGTATTTTGTGAAAAATGTTTCTTGGACAACAAGTCGGAAGAGATGGAATTAAATGAAGATGCTACACAGCCCAACATGTATGTCATCCAATCCTTGTTAATGATATTAATTTTAGTGATGATAATAATAATGTTCCCGTTCGTTCATTGTCCATTTGAATGTCACTAAATGGCTTGTTTTGTGTTTTATTATTAATGGTAATTTTCATCAATGATTGTGTTTTATAGTTTAGCAATTTACTTTGTTGTTTACAGACGCATAAGGAAAGAGTTATTTGAGAAAACGAAAAACAATCAATTAGAAATGGAGCCGTAAGTTTCTTTGGTGTGGTAGATAAGTGATGCAATAAATAGAAATAATATTGATCGTCGTCATCATCTTTTGATCAAATTATCATATTCCTTCATGGGTCATCATCATCCTACATGCCTCAAACATATTGTCCCCGTCACCACCACTAACTGGCTGCTTAACAATACTGATAATTTCTATCGTGTTTTGAAATGTTCTGTCGGCACCAATACTCCTTTCTGAAAGTTTAACTGGCAATACCAATACTTTGTATTTTTCAAACGATGCGACACGAATGCGGAACTTTTATTCTATCCATAACAGTGTGTTTCGTATTTGTAATTGAGTAAAATGAAAATGATTGTTTGAAAAATTTACTTCCAGGGCTCTTAATTTTTTCAGAATGATAAGAGCAATCGTTTGTCGAGTGTTTCATAAATAAAACATGATTGCCAACAAATAAAAGATTATTTCAACAAACAAACAAATAAAATTATTTCAACAAAAACGGGTGAAGATATCTTTATTTTTATTTTAACAAATCAATAAATAAATGCTTTTTATTAGTTGAAACAATTTGTTAATTAAAAAATTAAACACTTTTTTGAAGTAGTTTTGGACCACTGAGCAGAGGAGTGACGTTTCGGGATTCAAAGTGTAGCGGTTGCGAAACAACTTTTTGAAACGAACATGAAAAATGGCAGCAAATCTTAATTTAAATCATAAAAATTTACCATTTAAAGACGCGTTTAATTTTGAAAATAGAAATTGTCATTAATTACGATACATCCATTTTACATTAGCAAGTATTTCTATCCGGTATCAATTTTTTTTTGTCTAAAAAGTATCGGAGATATCGAGTTTGATACTTGGCATCTAAAGATTTACCAATACTGAAAAGATATCGTCGATACAACATGGTCGATAGCGATATTTTGAAATTAACAGCCATCATCAATCACCATGCTCACTCCATCCTAGATTCATAGAGTGCTCACTCTGTGGCAAGAAACAACACCAGATATGTTCGTTGTACTTGGAAGCTGTTTGGCAGGGCTCCTTTGTATGTCAACAGTGTTCAACTGCCAACAACATCAAGAGAAAGGAAAATAAATATACTGCAAAAAGTAAACTCCCTTTTGATATATTTATTTTTCAATAATTTGTACTGGCCATATTACAAATATGTTAATTAATTAATTAAAATCGTTGAATGGTTGTTTTTTCCTGTGTTTTGTGGTTTTTTCCTTTAGTATTGTATCAAAGAGATACAATTTTATAGCATGATTCATTGTAATTATTAACGTGTGCATAGTTGCCAACCGTCCCGAATTGGGCGGGACATCCCTAATTTTGCTCCCCATACCCCCGCGTTCCACTTCGGTGTCCGCAGGACACATATTTGTCACATATTGAGACACTTTTTGCGAAACCAAAACAAATAGTGAAATATTGAAATAACAATTTAATAAATTTAAAAAAGCTCACGAAAAAAGCGCCGATTTCTTCGATGTTTCCAACACAAATAACATCTTTTAACTTCATTGCTATGTCTATGAAGCAGAAAAATTTCGGATACCGGCGTTTCATTTTAATTGCGGTGTCGATCATGATTATGATTCTCAATAAAACAACAAAGGAAAACGCCGACTGTTCATTTAATTTAATTGATATATCGATGATGATTATGATTATACAAAAAGCAAAGTACTCTGCAAGTTCACGATATTTTCTTGATAGGACTGCCACAAACGAAACTTGGAACTTATTTGGAGGCCCGAGTGAATTCGTTCCTAACAAAAAGTGATTGTGGTGCCGGAGAGGTGACCATCCGAGTTCTTTCCAGCTCAGAAAAAACAGTGGAAGTTAAGCCATTAATGAGAGGTCGACATGGAGATGAGATGCCAGATTCCTTTCCATACACAGCCAAATCCATATTTGCTTTCGAAGAAATAGATGGATGCAGTATATGCTTCTTTGGAATGCATGTACAAGAATATGGGTCAAACTCTCCTGCTCCAAATGCTAGGTTGGTGTTGATTGGTTGGTTGGTTGGCTGGCTGGTTGTTTTTGATTAGTTGATGTTTGTTTGTTTGTTTGTTTGTTTGTTTGTTTTGTTTGTTTGTTTGTTTGTTTGTTTGTTTGTTTGTTTGTTTGTTTGTTTGTTTTGATGATTTGGCTGTTGGTTGGTTGGTTGCTCGTATTTGACGGATGATAACTGTGCATCAGTTCGTAATTAATTTTGGCTAGTTCATTAGTTTTTTTTGTTGTGATGCTGATGAAGAATTGAAGTTGATGTTATTAATAACGCACATGTTGCTGATGGAAGCATTGTAGTGTTAAACAAACAAACAAACAAACAAACAAATACAGGCGTATATACATTGCCTACTTGGACAGTGTAAATTTCTTTCAACCTAAGCACATGCGGACTCCCGTTTACCATGAAATACTCATTGGCTACCTTGATTATGTTAAAAAATTGGGGTAGGTAAGATTTTTAAGGAACATATTTTAAATAGTTTGATAAAATTTCATATTAGTTGTAATATTGTTTAATTGTTATCGCAACTATTATGTCCTACAATTATTATTATTATGTGTTTGGTGATGAATACATAGGAAAATTTTGGGTTTTTTTCGTTAATAGTTACGCGACAGCTCATATTTGGGCCTGTCCGCCAAGTGAGGGAGACGATTACATCTTCCACTGCCACCCTCCCGACATGAAGATCCCAAAGCCAAAACGACTGCAGGACTGGTACAAGAAGATGCTTGACAGAGCTATCATGGAAAAAATTGTCGTCGATTATAAGGTGGCTAATTCAGTTTTTTGCAGCCTTCCATTGTTTCATTTGCCCATTCATTTGTTCCTTCATGAGTGCTGTGCTGTGCCATTTATCTCATTATCTGATTGACACCATTCGTTCTGCACTTTTCAAATGCCTTTTGCCGTAATATATCTGTGAACAACAGTTTCCTGCATTATCGTATTTAGGTTTATAAAGGACCACCTGACAGCCAACTCATCCATCATGTCATTCATTCATTCATTCGTTCGTTCGTTCATACATGCATGCATGCATGCACTGACTCGGCTATCACAAATTTGTTGTTACCAGGACATCTTGAAGGATGCGGTAGAGAACAACATCTCCAGTGCCACTGAACTTCCATACTTTGAAGGGGATTTTTGGCCGACGGTTCTCGAGGACAGCATCAAGGAGTTGGAGTTTGAGGAGGAGAAGAGGAAGAGAGAGAGTGAATTACTACTCACTGAACAGCAACAAATCATTCCTTCTAATCAAATGATAACAACGACAACGTCCTCCTTATCATCTTCTGCTCTCTATGGATCCAGTACCTTAACTTCATCCTCATCAACAACATCATTGGCAATGACAACTGCTGCACCATCAACCACGACAGCTCTCACAACAGTATCAGTGACTGCAACAACAACAACGACTACAACGACATCAACATCGAATGGCAATTTGAATGAAAGCTCTCTGAATGATGATCAGAACAGTATGGACATTGAAGATTGCAACTCTTCAAATAATGCATCATCAAATGCTGAAGTACAACCTCTTTCAACTCTATAATAATAATAATTATTTATTCATGTAGATCAAACTTCTATCTGGAAATAATTTTTATCACTTAATTTTTAATTGATTTTGTTTAAATTGTTCAATGTAGAAAAATTGATCACCAATTGACTGAGTGATAGATTGCATGTTAATTGATTGATGGATTTATATAGAATTCCCAGATTGGCAAGAAGAAGGGACAGAAAGGAGCAATAAAGAAGAAAAGTTCAAAGATGAAAGGAGGTCAGTTATGCTCTCTTTATCAATCTATTTATTCATCAATCTATCTATCTATCTATCTATCTATCTATCTATCTATCTATCTATCTATCTATCTATCTATCTATCTAACTATCTAGCTATCAACTTGGACAGGGATTATAGCTTCACCGTCAGTATACTTATAATAAATCATATCTTCGCAATGTTGCAGAAAATGTTCATTTAGGAAGTCATTAAAATATTATTTTAACTAAATATTCAGGCAATAAGAAAAACCAAGCTCCGAAAATAGAGGCAACAAATGGTAATGAACTGACATCGAAAGTGTTGCAGATGATGGAGAAGCATAAAGAAGTTTTTTTCGTAGTGAAGTTGTACCATCCAATGTGTGTTCCATCCCTGCCTCCGATCCAAGATCCCGATGCATTTGTTACAAATGATTTGATGGATGGTCGGGATGCCTTCCTGATGATGGCCAGGGAGAAACATTACGAGTTTTCAAGTCTGAGGAGAGCCAAGTTTTCAACGCTAGTCATGTTGTATGAGCTGCACACACAGGGAAGGGAGGCTTTTGTCTATGCGTGCAACAATTGTAAAGCGAACATTGAGATACATTATCACTGTACTGTTTGTGAGGTTAGCCAGATCAACTTCATCAACATCATTATTCTTACCATTATCTTCATTAAATTTATAGTTATTTCTGACCTCATTCATTACCGTTAGCATATTCACGATCATCATTATTTGCAGGACTTTGATCTTTGTACCTCATGCTATGAAAAGCTGAATCACGAGCACAAGATGGAGAAGAGGTCGATGGATTTGGATGGAGGTGCTCCGGGAGGAAGTAGTTCTGGCTATGGAGTAGGAGTGAATGGAAGTGTGGCTGAAGATGGAAGGAATATTAGCCAGCAAGAAGTATTCCATTTTTTAAAATGTGTTTTGCGTTCATCTTAAAATCATCTGAATCAAAATTAACAAGTCATTCATAAATCAATCGATTTATGTATTTTATCTCCGCATGAACACCTGCTCAAACATTCACAGGCTCGGAGATTATCCATTCAGCGCTGCATACTTTCCTTGCTACATGCATGCACGTGTCGTGATGCCAACTGCAGGTTAGCCAGCTGCCAGAAGATGAAGAAAGTTATCATGCACACAAAACAGTGCAAGCGAAAACATACCCACAACTGCCCCATATGCAAGCAGCTTTTTGCTCTCTGCTGGTACCATGCTAAACATTGTAGAGAGATAAAGTGCCAGGTTACATAAACTTCTATCCTTGTTTTTAACTTCATTTTCAACTTATTATAATAATTATTATAACTTACTGATAGATATGAATAGATACAAGTGCATGTTAACATATCATTCACTAACTGCCAACAACAGGTCCCTTACTGCTTGACTTTCAAGCAGAAGCTGCAGCAACAGCAGAGTCAACAACGAATGCAACAAGATATGCTGATGAGAAGAAGAATTGAAACGACCCTACAAAACGCTGGTGCCAACAGTTGCAACAGTTCTAACAACAATGGTGGAAGCGGCTCTAACAACAACGCTGGGGGCTCTCTTTCTTCATCTTCATCAACTTTACAGGTTTCTTTTATTTATTTTCGGTTTTGTTTTTAACGCTAAAGAGGCCCCTTAATCCAGCCCCAACCTTTTTTTTCGAATATTTATCAAAATAAAACACGTAGTCATGAAGCAGAATATGTTTATTTGAATATTTTTCAATTTATCTTGTGATGTACTTACAATAAGTTGTCTTGAACTTTGTACAAGCGATGGTTAAATAACTTCTTTCTTTTATTTAGCTGCTAAATTTTCATCAGCAGCAGCAGCACCATCACCAACAGAGCATACCGCAGAAGTTAGTGGCACCAGTTCACTCGTCCTCTTCACCATCACCGTCGTCTGCATCAACTCATAACCAATCAGCTGTAAATTCACGACTCTTGCAACATCAACTTCTGCAGCAGCACATGCAACTGCCTACTGCTGATAATTCTCTTCTTCCAATGTCAAATCAAAATGTCATCATGATGCAACAACATCTGCAACAGCAGCAACAACTTCAACAACAACAACAACTTCAACAACAACAGCAACAATTTCAACAGCAACAGCAATCATTTGTCATGCATACAACCGACCCACATCAGGCCAATTGTTTTGCTGGATCACACTTACAACAACAGCAGCAACAACATTCTGAATCGATGGATGTAAGCTGCACTGTCGTTGCTAACCAGACATTGCCATCTGCAGCTCCTACCATTGCCCCATCTTCGAACCAGCTCAACAACCAACAGTTTCAGCACATGCAACACCTCCAACAACAACAGCATTTACATCTACAAATTCAACAGCAACAACTTCAGCAACAACATCTGCAACAGCAAATTGTATCAACGAGCAATAATAGCCATGTTGGTAGTACTAGCAACAGCAGCAGCATAAGTCGAACGCCATCGAGTTCCTCCTCAATGTCCCCTGCGGTTAGGCAGAAGTTTGTGGAGCTCCTCACTGGCAACTCCCAGCAAATTGCTGAGTACATTAGAGTCAGTTCCTTTCTTGCTCGCTTGCTTTTCATTTATTCATCTTCTTTTCTGTTTTCTTACACCACGTTGCCAATTCTCTCACTTTCTCTCTCTCTCTCTCTCTCTCTCTCTCTCTCTCTCTCTCTCTCTCTATCTATCTATCTATCTTTTTATACTGTTCTAGAATTGAGTTTTTTGTTAAAGATTCATCTTTCAGAAAATTACTTAGCTTCATATGTACTGTAAAGTTTGCAATTTTAAATTAGAATTTTTATTATTAAGTGATTAATTTGAATTTATACTGTTAATAAAACAATACAGAATCAGCAGCAGCAGCAACAACAACAACAGTTACAATTACAGCAACCACAGAACAGATTGATTCTCGGAAGTCGTACAATCAACAACAATAACAACAGACCTGTCTTGTTTTCATCGATACGACAGCCTCTATCACAACAACAACAACATCTCAACAGCATTCGACTGCAGTCTGATTCCACTAGAATTATTTTAAGCAGCAACAACATATTACAGCAGCAACAAAATCAACAAATGGCTCAAATTCAGCAGCGTCAGGTAACCCCACCAGCTAGGCCTCAACAACAAAATCTCTTACAATTGCAAAGAACCCAACCATCACAGCAACAACAACAGCAATTACTGATTCAACAACAACAGTTACTACAGCAAACACAACAACAGTTACTACAACAAACACAACAACAAACACAGCAGCAGCAACTGATGCAACAGTTGGTTCCTACATCATCAACTAGATTGAATATAACAAGCAATTCGTTTGGACCTTCCTCGAACCAACAATTCCAACAACAGCAACAGTTAAATTTGCAGCAGAACCAATCAGTAGTCTTGTTAATGAACAACAGTAACACTAATAACAACAACACCGGCAACAACATCGTTGAAAACCAGCAACTTGAACAACAACAACAACAGATTAGGCAGGAGCAGTTGATGTTAACACAAATACATTCAGACCTTCCGTCCGTCGTGCAGACTCACAACAACAACAGCAGCAACAATAATAATAATAATAACGACAATAATAATAACGACATGGCTGACAACAACAGTTCTGACTATATTACAGCTCAAGATCAGCTATCAAGATTTGCTGAACAATTATAATAGAGGAGTTTTCATCCATCCATACATCTGTCTCTCTGCCTGTCTATAAATCCTTTCAATAAGCATAGATTGATTGATTGATTGGCTGATTGATTGGCTGATTGATTGGCTGATTGATTGGCTGATTGATTGGCTGATTGATTGGCTGATTGATTGGCTGATTGATTGGCTGATTGATTGGCTGATTGATTGGCTGATTGATTGGCTGATTGATTGGCTGATTGATTAATTACCTGAGTGAACAACTAACTGATTTGATAAACTATGTCATTTGTTCATTCATTTTTTTCATTCAATTTTTTTTCATTCTTTTATTTGTTTAAGTTGTTGTCAAATCAATTAATGAATGGCGTCTCAATAGATTACAATTCTTTCTAATTAGCCAGCCGTTGTCGAAATTATTGGGTTGGTGTTCAGTCATTCTGTGTTGTTGTCATGAAATGTGATGTGGTTCAAGGAGTGTGATGTGATGTGTAATAATTACATAATTACTTTTAAATGCTTATCTCAATCATATTTTATTTTAAAAATTCTATATTTCTATTATCATATTTTGAAAATCTAATTTAACTGTTTGTGTGATAGCATTGTATTCAAAAGTTAATTTCAAATAAACTACGTCCGTATGTTTTTGAACAAATGTGTGTGCGTGTGTGCGTGTGTGTGTGTGTGTGATATTGAATACGAGAATATGGAAGCGTAATCAACTTTGTGCATGAGACTGTAGCATCATGAAATTATTTATTATAAGGTTTGTTCATTTGTTAATTCGTTCGTTCGTTTGTTTAACTGCGGTTTCATGCATTCATTCATTCATTTGTTTGGTTGTCTGCCCCTTTTTGAATTTTAGTAATTCTTCTTCGGTGGCATTTTAACGTGTTTGTATATATTTGTATACGTCTGTATTTCACATGTGTGCATACACTTTTGAATATATATATATATATATATATTTGTAAGTGTGTGTGTGTGTGTGTGTGTGTGTGTGTGTGTGTGTGTGTGTGTGTGTGTGTGTGTGTGTTATGGTTGGTTATAATTCATGCAAGATGCGATGGGCTGATGAATGTGCTGTTAAGTTTCAAGCATCATCATACTCTTAAACAATCAAAATTATATTTTTATATATTAATCATTCACTCATTTGCTTATTCATTCTTTAGCCCATTCATTCATTCATCTAATATTCTTATTTATTTTTTTCATTTTATGAATTTATTTTTATAACAAATTTATTTTTGTTCATCATTCACATTTCATTCTTATCATACATCAGTTATCTCCATTTAACAATTAATTCAATTGTATATATCTTGTCCTTTATATATATATATATATATATATATATATATATATATATATATATATATATACACATACTTTATGTTTGTATATATATATATATATACATACTTTATGTTTGTATATATATACACACACGTTATTGTCTAATTTGAAGTATGTTTGTGTGCTTCCTCGTAAATTTTTGTGATCGGCTGCTCGCTAATTATTATTTTTAAAATTTAAACTCTTCAGCTAGTGTGGTAGTGAATTTGAAAATATTTTTCTGTTTAACTTTCTTTTCATAGTTGGTTGATTGGTTGGGTTGGTTATCTATCTGCTTGTTGCATAGTGACAGTGTAAGTTTTATGCCTAATTATTTAATTCCACGGCTGCCTGGCTGTTGTTTCTTTCAACTCAGTGCTACCTTCTTACTCTGGAGCGCTCTCTTCTTTTGTTGCTGCTTTTATTCTCTATTATTTGTTGCTAAATTGTTGTTTCGATGAGATATTTTGTTTTTATGTTGTTTCAATTTTTCATCGCTTTAATGAATACGAATTTTTTCATTCATTCATTCTTTCATTCATTCAATCATTCATTCGTCTCTTTCAGTTATTAATGCGAAGCACTTTTATGCCTTTGACACCAGTTGCTCGACTACCTTATAATGTGTCTGTCTGTTTGACTGTCTGCCTATCTCCATTTCCTCATTAGTTCATATTTTTTCATCAATTCATCTACTTATTGGGTTGTTTGTTTGTTTGTTTATAAATATATTATATTTATTTATTTATAATTATTTATATTTATTTATTTATCTCTTTATTCTATTCATCCATTCATTTATTTGCAGAGCTTGCAAATAAAAAATTAATAAACGTTTGCATCCTTCGCATGCGTACGTGTGTAGTATGCCTAATTATAATTTTATACCAATATATATATATATATATATATATATATATATATATAGAGAGAGAGAGAGAGAGAGAGAGAGAGAGAGAGAGAGAGAGAGGTTAGGTTGAGTAGGGTGCTTATTCATTTGATGCATGTATTGAAAATAATGATAGATATGGTGATGAAAATGATGACGACGATGATGAATGAGTTCCTATGCAATTACGTTATCTTATTAATTAATCATCCTATCATTTTTTTATTTACTTATCCATTTATTCATTCAGTCAATCATTCATTCGTTCTATTTCTGCGGTTTGTAGCAGCTTGTTAATTCTTTGCATGTGTGTAAGTATGTATATGTGTGAGTATGTGTGTGAGTATGTGTGGGTGCGCGCGTGTGTGTGTATATGTGTGCGTATTTGTATGTATGTACGTGCTTTTTGTACATGCAGAACTGATAACATGTGAGCGAACATGTGTAGCATTTCACGGTGTGATGATGCATGTTCTGAAATATCTCTCAGGTTCGTGTGTTCGTGCATTTAGTTAGATTCCGCGTTTCATCTCCACATACACGTACACTGTGCAGTACACACGCGGTTGTACTCTGCTGCCATAGTTGGTGTCTGCTCGCGAAGAAAGAGCAGGCATCACATTAGCGTTATTGTTAAGCTAATTAGTTTTTTTAATACGTTTGTTTGATCATTATCTTGTGGTGTTAATTAAATAATTAGTTAATTTGTTTATTTATTCATTCGTTTGTTTATGTACTTATTTCCAGTCTTCTGTCCAGTTTGAGTTCCGCATGGCAGTTGAATTGAATGGAATAACATTTTTCTTGCATCGTTATTATCATTCGTTCCTATGGAAAAGTTATTAACATATATCATAGTTGTTAACAGTAGTAATAATAATAATAATAATAGTTATTATTATTGTTGTTGTTATTTTATTGGTACGAGTTTACATTAGCTTTGGAAGTATATATAATATTAGAGAGCCCATTTTTTAGGAAGCTGTATATTTCCTGGTTTGAACTTTCATTCGTTCATTTGTCTACTCAACTTTTTTAAGAACGAAATTGTCATTTGACCATCATCCTTATTGTTATCATCGTAGTAGCTGTACTTATCCAGTATTTTGCATGATCAAGTGCTCTTCATCATCATCTTCGTCTGCTTTTTCGTTTTCATCTTTAAGTTTTACCATCGTTATGTTTTTCAGTTTTTATTATTGTCAGAGTTTATGTACTTGTCTATACTTACACACACACACACACATATATATATATATATATATAGATATATATTTAATATGATATATTTGTTATTCACGGACGGAATCATATTTAATTTGCTTGTTGGTTCTGCATTAAATATGTGGAAGAGGAAGACATGAGTGTGTGTCCGTGCGTGATTGCTTGTAGGTACTTCTATGAATTTAGACTATGTATGCATCAATTGACTACTACTGATTATGTTACTATGTAGATAGATTATGAATGAAGTATTCTTTGTTTGTTGGCGCTTCTCATGTTTCTCATTGGCACCTCTTACATCGTCGGTCGCGCTTCGCCGTCAACCTAATAAACCTGATAGACATTGTTATTATTAATTGCTTATATTTTAATAATGATTGTAATGACACTTAGATTGTGAGGAACTATTTGTAAAAAGTGTTTAATATTGTATATATTTAACTTCAAAGACATCGTTTCTTATATTAGTTCAATAATTATTCATTGTTATCATTATCGAATTTATTATTACCATCATTATTGTAATTCTTAAATAGTTTTATCGTTATTTTTGTACGTTTTTTCATTATCGTTATTCGTAAAGGCGTTACGTACAGATTCGCTAAATAATTTTCTCAGCATTTTCTTCCTTGATTTCTGAAACTTCTTCCACGTCTGCTTATAGTTACTCACCACTAATAAGCTGACTGGCGGTGGTCAATCTAACCAATCAAATTTCAGCTACCAATCGATTTTTACAACCCACAAACTTAAATACCGATCAAATTCATTCGTTCAGATGACTGGATGCTGACATGAACTATCAATTTGGCTAATAACCTTCAAATTATTATTAATTAAATATGCTGAGTAAGTTAATAATTACGATGAAGATGAAAATTTCTAACTACTAGCTATGTAAATCATTGTGTATATATAATATATTTATATACTTTTATATATATACATATAAAATGGTATATATATATATATATATTTGTATATTTTATTTATATGTACGCGTGTTTGTGTGTGTGTGTGCACTTGTTAATTCTTTTTCGGGTCATTTTCATTTATTCAGGCTGTTATTATTGTTGGTTTTACATACATCATCCTAAGTAAGAATATATTTTAGTTTTGATCAATCGCCATACAAAAACATGGCTTAATGCGACGTCACCGACCTACCTCCCCGTCGTCAAAAAAGACAAACAGGTGGTTGGTTGTTACATGGCAACACTCAACTCTACGTTTAAATCGTAGGCTTGTAATGAATGCAAATGACCAACTGACAAAGATATCGTTATAATTGGGGCAGTTATTGCTATCGTTATTGCTGTAATCGTTAATTCGTCGTTATATACAATGTTTCTAATCATTAATGCACCGAGCAGGTTAGTTTTTGGGTGGTTTCAAACGTTTGGTCTCTAAACTTTCTTTTCATTTGTGGCCGGTAGCCTCTTCCTCCAGCAGTTCAATTATCTGGCAACGTGTTTGCGCTTCCATGCATTCTTCCCGTTGTTGCTGATGTTCCTTGTTGTTGGTGCAAAATGACCGAGCAACCTGTAGAGCGTCCATGTCGGACATCTTCGCGTTCACATTGGCGCCATGACTGAGCAGCAGTTGCACTATCTCTCTCTGCCCTGTTACGTAGTCATTTTCAGTATTTTAAATGTAAAAATATATAGCACCCACTACCGAGTGGTATTATTATTATTATTATTATTATTATTATTATTATTATAGAACGAAATAAATGCTGCACCGTGCATGACGGCCAAATGCAACGGCGTGGCTCCGTCGCACATTTTGTTCTGAAGGTCGACATGAACGTAACCTCTACTCTCCGTCAGCAAGGCTCTCACACAAGCGGTGCTCCCCATGTTACATGCTGCGTGTAGTGGGCTGTTACCATTGTCTGCACATTCATTCAATATCATCTGCCAGCATCCAACTCTGTTGGTGTCGTCTCGTTGGCCTGCTCTTTGTTTCTCGGAAACAATGTCATCGTCGTCGTCGCCATTTTCATCGTAGTTAACTTTATTGGCACCATCAAATAGTGCTTCTTCAAATTTGAAGTCTTCGAAAAGCTTGTTTTTGAACGTAATGTACAACTCAATTTGTCGTTTATCTTGAGTTTAACATAAAATATCCATCATCATTACAAATTCATCAACAGTTTCGTCGATAGGTGTGCTACACGTTTGAAAACAACATCATAAAACATCACATCATGGGGACTAACCAGATGTAACAAGATTTTCAAAAATTGACAATTGTTCATGGTAACAGCGTGGAAGAATAAACTTTTCCGTCTTTCGTCTTTGTAATACAAACTAACTTTTTTTGTGTTCAACATGTACAAAACAACATCCCAAAGTGACGATCTGTTTAATTTTATTTCTTTGTCTAATTGTTTGTGTGGTGTGTATCTACATTCGTATCGTGTGATTCTATATTTGCACTTGAAAATAATTTGATCGAAAAATCATAAATTTTCACTTGACTGCCGAGAAAAGTCTGGCAACGTTCAGTTGCTCGTCCGACAGTAACAAGTTTTTGTGGTCTTTCCTCATAGGCAGCATGTGCGTTTTGTTTCGGTTACTAGGCTCGTTGCCGATCTTCTTGCTTGTATGGTGTTTTTTATGTTTGCCATGAGCAAGATCATCTTCCTCACCATCATCAGATGATCCGCCAGCATCGAAGTTGTATGTTTTCTTCCCGTCATTTCTTTTCCTTGTTCTGCGTTCTTTTTCGTTTTCAGTCATTTGTAGTTGATGGAAGAATGATACGACACCAGACCAGAGATTTATTAGGCAGAAACATCTCATTGCTAAAATATCTTGATTTGAACAAGTTAAAAGTTTTCCGGTGATAATAATTCTCATCAAGTTATTGAAATGTAATATTGTCAATGTTTTATTGATCTATTTAATGCTCAGTTAGTCTAATCTGAAACCTAATCGGAAAATATGTTGTTGAAAGAGGGCGTCAACACTCACTTTGAAATAAGTTAATGTGAAATCTTGTCAATTTTATTTCAATAAAATTAGATAATTAGAATGTCTACCTTGAATGTACTGCTTGACACTACTTCTACATTTGACATCGGAAAGAAGTTTTTTGTATAAACTTTTATTCTTGGATGTGAGCGTCACAAGGTAATCAATAAATAAATTGTTATGTTTGTTATTTGATAATAACTTGTCTGGGTACTCGTGAAATATTTGTTTGAGCAGATAAGCAGTCTGGTGTTTGCTGATGGTTTTGCTGTTCACGCCAGATGAAAATGCAAAACTGATCTCATCCATTATTATATCATGTTCCATTTGTATCAGACATTTTTTGTCTTCTTTCTTGCACTCTGACAACCAGAAACTAACAAAATTACAAAAATTTGAAATTGATGCTAACCAGTTTGTAAGTTTGTGGATTTCGTCGTTGCAAGACGTCAACCAACCTGCCACTACATTTGAGTCTAAATATTTCAAAGTGCTGTCTACATCAGTGTACTGAACCCCACTACTTTGAGCCTCTACGTGGTTCTTCTTGGTTGTCGTAATTTTTGGCAGTCGTGTGTTGTTTGAGGATTTGGATGGAGCATAAAAACGAGACTTTTGGATTGATTTTTTAACATTTGTCCTGTCCCTTACTCCAACGTTCTCTACATCTACATCAGTTGGATCGTTCCTGGTCAATGACTGAATGCCGGAATCTGGTGAATGTAAAAAAGAATTTCTCGTTGAGAGATTGTTGCCATCATCGTTTGTGTCCTTGTAATAATTAGTGATGTCTGCGTGTTCTTCATCACTGTCCTGTACAGTTAACCGGGATACACATATGAATTCTCTTAGATCTTTCAAATTTCTATGCATAGTTTGTAAAATTTTTCGAAAATGGATTTGGAATTTCAGACTATTAGTTCAATTCATCAACAACACGAAGACGAACTGTTACGGGGAACATCAGTTGAAGGCAAAATAATGTGGTAAAAACTGGTAGAGATCCGAAGTAAGCCAACCTAAACAGAAAGATAATCATTAAAGAGCTCTTCTTTAATGAATTGGAAAATTATCAGCTCGTGCTGAAACAATAAAATTTGAATAACATTTGTGTATACGAAGTTTTTCGTAACTAAGCAACCAAAAAGTTTAGTTAAATGAAAGCAGAGAACAAATGTTTTAATTCTTTGTATTGGATTTGCTTAAAAGTAAAATCCATAATTCGTCAATCCTAACGTGACGCTAGCACGAAATAGAAAAAAACTTGGAGCGTCGTGTTGGCTCTGAAAGATTCAAATATAAGAAAAATTCTTGAAAATATTTTGTAAACAAACATTTATTTGGTGCGTGCGCTGTCGCCATGTCTGAGAGCCAAGAAAATTGTCGGAAACACAAATTAGGATTAGCTGCTGATGGGAATTATCAGGACGATGGTGAAGACAGAAACGATGGTGATGGCGTCATCGGGCCTTCATTGTCCGAAACATTTAATGTCATGCCAAAAAAATTGAAAGGTATTTTAATTTTTAGTATTATTGTTAATAAATAAATTAATTATTCAATTTTTAATGTTAATCATTCTCATTCATCACTGAATTTGAATGCCACTCACAATGTCAATTCTTATTCCTTCACTTCAATATCATTTAATTAAAATTAATTAATCTGGACTCAGGATGGTTGATGTATTGTGCTTCCCCCTCATCAAATTTTGTTCATTCATTCATTCATTCTTCTACTGTGGATTTCTCAATTAAAAACCCATGCTCTCCCAATAAAGAAAACTATCAGAAAAATTATAAAGAGCATTTTTGAATTGTTGAAATTATGTAAAATTTTATGAACCCTTAAAATTAAAAGCCATGGATTGACTGATGTTTAATATTTATTTAACATTCAAAAGTTTTGAAGCATGAAAAAGTCTACATAGAGAACTTGCCTAGTGCGGAATCATATGAAAAGAGTTACATGCATCGGGATGTTGTCAATTATGTAGCTGTCACTAAGTAAGCACTCCCTTCTTTCAAGATTTCAATTTCATTACTCTCAAATAAGGTCGTTATGTGAGAATTATGTTTAATTATACAAATTATGTTCAGTGTATTTGTATTAAAAGATTAAATATATATTTACTGGTTTCATTAATTAGTAAAAATAATTAACTTTATTTTTGTTACAAAGGACTGATTTTGTGATAACAACAAGTTGTGATGGTCATCTGAAGCTTTGGAAGAAGAATGATGGAGATGGCATTGAATTTGTTAAGCATTTCAGATGCCACACAAGTTTGTTCTATTTTTCGTTCTTTTCTTTGTTCATTTATTTGTTTTTGTTTGTTTATTTATTTACCAATCCTTCTCTTTTTTTATATATGTAAACTTGCTAAACGTATTTATAACATTCTCCTTGTTTGTTTATCTCTCAACTTGTTTCTCAAACTTTGAGGTGCTGCAGTCAGTTTTGTTGGCATGTACTGATCCATTGGTTTTGTTTTTTGATTATTGGTTTGAAAATCTCTAAGAATTGAGTTTGAATGATAATTAGGTTCACATTTTGCAGGCAAAACTAGTTGTGCATCATTAACAGTCAATATTACTTTAATAAAATATTGGTCCATTAATATGAGGAGACACATATAACAAATATTGAATGATGAAATTAGAATGAAATGAATGTCAGGTAGCATAGCTGATCTGGCTGTCAGTTGGAATGGAGAATTCTGTTCAACCTCATCAGACGACAAAATCATTAAAATATTTGATGTCGCCAACTTTGGTTGTTTATTCTCATATTTTAAAACTATTTTCTCCTTAATATTACTTAATTAATTAACAATGATATTTACTTGAAAGCGTTTTTAATTGTGACTCTGTGTTTCTTTGCAGATATGATCAACATGCTGAAAGTTGACTACAGTGTCAAGTGCTGTTGCTGGCTCTATTCCCCTGGAGACCCCATCGTCGCCATTGCTGTGTTCGTCCTCTCCTTCGCCTCATCATCTTCATCGTCCTCATCATCATTTTCATCATCATCTTCATCATCATCATTATATAGTCGTTATCATTGAAATCATTTCCATTATATCATTCTTAACATGGTGGACATCGTTATTGCCACCAAAACTTCCATCACCATTTTATCATCAATGTCAAATCTTCATAATTAATTTTTGTTCTCATCTTAAATAAATAATCATTGTCATAATTGATTGATTATTATTATTATAAGTTATAATTTTAAGTTATAATTGATCATAAAAATATAATTTATTTTAGTGCAGATAAAGAGAGTAGCAAGATATACGTGTATGATAGTAAGGCAGCTTCTCAATGTCTCCATGTTTTTGACCAACTCCATTATAAACCCGTCATCATTATGAAGGTTCATTTGCTCATTCGTTCGTTCATTCATTCACTCATTTGTATTCGTCCCGCCGTCTCTTCACTAAATTTTTTACTCTCAAATTTTGTTCTTAGCTTTCGTCGTTATGTGGTCGGTGCGAAAATAGTACCTTTGATTTTTTTATTTATTCGTTCGCTCACTCAATATCTATTTGTAATTAATATTAAATTATTTGTACTGAAACATGGAACGCCTGCCCGCATTGCAGTATAACGCCATCTTCCACACAGCCATCTCTGTTGATAGCTCAGGTCGGTTAATTGTTATTTACTACCTACTACTACTACTGCACTTTTTTAGATACATTGGTTAATTCTGTTTCCTTTATTTGATGGCTTATTAATATTTGAGACACACACACGCACCACAATTGATACAGGGATGATGGAGTATTGGACGGGGCCAAGATTTGATTACTCCTTTCCAAAAAATGTTCACTGGAAGTTTAAAACTGAAACAGATCTCTTTGAATTTGTTAAGGTGGCTTCATTTTTTATATTTTTAATGTTCCTCTGTATAACCCCGGTCGGTCGATTGCAATTGAATGCTTTGTAAATATTATCGTGATTGCATGCATGTGAATGAAGTTGTTGTACGTAATGATATCGTTATGATGATTTAAAAACATGCAGTCAAAAACATTGCCGTTGAGTGTCAGCATATCTCATGATGGACAACAATTTGCTACCATTTCAAAAGATAGAAAGGTGTGTTTTTCTCCTCTCTCTCCTCCTTCTCTCTTTATCTCCCTCTTATTTTCCCTCTAAATATAAAATTATGTGTGTGAGTGTATATATTTCGTACGTTTAGTTGTGATGAAAATGCAATAAATAGTTGAATACTGGTGTTCATGAATAATTGAATGCAGATTCGAGTCTTCAGGTTTTCAACTGGCAAGTTGACGAAAGTTTTGGATGAATCACTGCAGAGGTTTACAGAAGCTAATCAGGTGGGTGCCATCATGACGCCGAGGTGTTGAGTATGATGTGGAGAAGATGATGATGAGATGTTTAGTTGTTCAATTTGTTACTCATTTATTTATCGTCATCATAACTCACTCATCATCCATCCATCCATCCATCAATTGACTCGACAGACGAAGCTGCAGATATCCAACATGGAGTTTGGCAAGAGGATGGCAGTAGAGAAGGATCTTGAGAGGTCGGAAGCATTCAACTACTGCAATGTTGGTCTGTACCTTGCTTGTAGTTGTACTGCAATGCTGGTCTGTGGTAGAGGTGAGCATGGGAACGTCCATGCCGAATTAAATCTGCGTTTTTAAAAAAATTCGTGTTTTTGTGTTCAAAAATTTTGAAATTGGGAAACGGGAGGGAGAGCGCGGGAATGAGTTGAAAAAATTAGGAGTGGAAATTTTCGGGAACGTTATCATGTGGGAATTTGGGAGAAAATCGAGAATGAGAAAAAAAATTGGAAGGAATTGTGAGCATATTTCAATCCCGCTCACCTCTAGTCTGTAGTTTGCTTTCTTGCCGTTCTTCTTCATGCTGTTGATGATACATGGCCATGACCTTGCTTATATTATTCACCCATTAATTCGTTCGTTCTTTCGTTTATTCATTCACTAATTTTTTGAAACCTTCCCTGAACTATTGGTCTATTGCTTTTTCGCACTCCGATCATTAAATGAAAATTTTTTTTGACCATAATCACTTGGCTGACCAAAATTTTTTTATTCTGATGATCGTCCTTATCATCATCATCATCATCTCTTCGATCATCATCATCTCGATCGCTATCGTCATACAGCTTTCGATCAAAGTGGGTACTTCCTCCTCTATTCAACCTTTCTTGGCATCAAAGGTTTTTCAATTTACACCAATGCATCATGTATTTGTTTGTAACATATTTATATTATGTCTCGATATAAATGTTTGTATATTTATATGTTTGTACAAACAGTTGTGAACTTGCAGACGAACAGATGTGTTCGCGTCATAGGTAGGACGGAGAACGCACGATTCCTACATCTGGCACTCTTCCAAGGTTCATCACATTGCAATTTTTCTTAAGCGTTTTCTTTCGTTTGTTCATTTTTTCTGTACGGCAGTGTGATGATTGATCTACAGCTGGCATTCGTTTCACATTGCATTAAAAATAATAGCATTCAATTGTAACCATGCCTCCACTCATTCTCTTGTTGAGTGACTGGACCAACTGATGCAATTAACTCTTTGGTCAAAAAATGATGCAGGGACGGCTAATAAGCCGAGAGCAGCCATCACGATGGAGATGGAGGCCTCTGATAACCCCGTCCTCAAGGGGGTGAAGTTTGATCCCACACTTTTCTGCACTGCTTTCAAGAAGAACAGGTTCGTTGGTGTTCGTGTGGGAGATTGTTGGGAACGAAACTGAAGTTTACAAGAGCATTTGCTAAAAACTGTTTGCATAAATTGTTAATTTCTATTTTAAATATTTGAAGGTTTTATCTCTTTTCAAGTAGAGAACCGATAGAAAAACAGTAAGAGTTTTATTTTTTTGTCGTTATTATTGTTATTGTGTAGAGACGTGTTCATTCATCCTTCTTAATGCTTTCAGCCATCCACTAATTATGTCGTCATGCCAAACAGGAGCGAAACCAACGATAGGGATGTTTTCAACGAAAGACCATCGAAAGAAGAAATGGTGTCGGCCACGCAAGATGTCTCGTACACGCGCATCTCCGATTCAGCTATCATGCACACCACCATGGGCGACGTTCACATCAAACTTTTCCCCAAAGAGTTACGACCTTATTATCGCTGTTGCTATCATTATTTATTATATGATTATATATATACACATCTAGTAAAGTATTGTTCAAAATTATAAAGGCATTCAACAAATTTTTTTACCAGGTGTCCTAAAACTGTTGAAAACTTTTGTGTGCACAGTCGTAATGGTTATTACAACGGGCACATCATTCACAGAGTTATCAAGGGCTTCATGATTCAAACTGGAGACCCAACTGGTCAGTTCACTGGTTGCTTGCTTATCAACTTCTGCATATCAATCAAATTGTACTGTTTCCAAACATTTATCCTATTTGGTCGGCCTTTGTAAGAGTTGCAAAAATTTTTTAATTAAATTGCGCCAACTCAATTGATGCTGTTGATAATTGCAGTTGTAGATCAGATCCACACGAATAATGCATTCAATTAAAAGTTTGTGGTCTGAACACCTTCAAAAAGATCACATCCAAACTTACAAAAAAAATTACAAATTTAATTTAAAAACGTGGGGCAAATTTTTAGGCATAGGAACAGGGGGCGAGTCGATATGGGGAGGTGAGTTCGAGGATGAGTTCCATGCAAACTTGAAGCATGACGTTCCATACACACTGAGCATGGCAAATGCGGGACCCAACACTAACGGATCTCAGTTCTTCATCACCGTAGTCCCAACAGTTAGGGATTTCATTTTCGCTAAACAGAATCTTTTTTTACATAATTTATTTAAATTTGTTAATTCATCAGACCACAACCTACACTTACCTGCATACACATTATTCGTTTTATAAAATAGGCTATCATTTTTAATATTTAAAATTTATTGTTCAGTTACCTTCATTATTATATTTTCGTAAACTTTATCAATATATAATATATATATATTTGTATTTATCATAATTTTCATAAAAATTGATTGATGTACGTTGCACACCCAGCCATGGCTTGATAAGAAGCACACAGTATTTGGCAGGGTGACCAAGGGGATGGATGTCGTCCAGAAGATATCACTCGTCAAAACCAACCCTAAGACTGATAAACCTCACGACGATATTTCTATAATTAGTGTGACTATTAAATAACTATATATTGAATTTTCATTTTATTTTTAATAACAAAAAACAGAAGAATATTTTTAAAACAATTTATTTTTTTGTTTGTTGTTCTTTCCATTCGTCATCATTGACGTCATAATCCTTCATTGACTTATCCAGCAGCCTCCATCTTCCAAACACCCCATAATCCACAATCCTATCCTTCCAATCCAACCAGCCCACCTTCATGTACTGGCAATGTGCTTCATACAAATCAACGTCGGCACTGAAATTATCAACCCACATAACAGAGAATGCCCCAAATGTAAATCTTTTTAGAGTGCCACTATTTAGGTGTCTGATTATTTTTTGGGTGTGTTCATCTGTTGATTTATTTCTTATTGAGTCTCCGATTATTGATAGGTCATTGGCATTTTCTAACAACTGTTCGATGAATTGTTCTTCTGTTGGGTTGGTGTGGACGAGATAACAAAATGAGGCAATTCCTGCCACATACGATGAGGCCTGCAATGGGTGGCTTCTGGCATCTTTGATTGTATCTAAAATGACTAATTTGTAATCTCCGTATATGTTCTTGAAGTAGTTTACTGCAAAAGAAAAATTTTAGTCAGGTTTTTTATCTTTTATTTTTAATATTTTTGTTCTATTAAAATAGTAAGAAGTATAAAACATAGAAAATTTAAAGTTAAACAAGTCTAATTTAGCCATTTAGGCTTTAATAGTCTAATCGACTGATGTTTTTCGTGAATAAATTTAATAAAAGTAATTTTGGCACAATCATTTTTACTTAAGGGGCAATTGTCTAACTAAATTGAGGACTATCTTTGGACAGCAATCGTCTACCAACTAAATTAAAGACCAACAATCTCTAGCTAGAGGGAGCAACAAAGGCCAACCATTTTTATGGAGCAATCGTCCAACTTTAAAATTGAGAAATAACCGTTTTTAAAGGGATTAGAATAGATTATTAGAAACGAGTAGAGAGCAAAAACAAAGAGTACAATATAATGTTTTTATATTTATTACGTTTTTGTGTAAGTTATGTATGTGTTGTTTTGTTATGTTATCATATCAGTCATGTCCATGTGCAATGCACGTGCATTATCTATATGAACAAAAATAACTAACCGATTTTAGAAAGTTTTCCGTTTTCGAGTTTTGTCGATGTTACGTTTAATTTACTGTTTAATTTATTTAAGGTTGATTTTAAATGATTAAACTGCCTAATAAGACTCATTTTGTTATGTAAAGAAAGGCTCTCGTGACGTTAAACGTAGATTGATAAACGCGATTCAATGATTTTCTTTTTTAATATGGAACGCCATCTAAAATTTTAGCCACGTTATAAATTAATTAGTATTCATACTTATATATATGTGTGTGTTTGTGATGTACATTTAGATACCTTTATATGGCGAGTTATAAAATTAAGTTAATTATGTTTTTATAATAAATACAAAAAAAATAATTTTTTTCAATAATAATAATAAAAATTACAAAATGAAATGAATTTTTTTGAAACTTAAATTAATTTTTGGCAAGTCTGTATGTGTGTAGATAGATAGGTAAATAGTTTGCAGTTTGTTAGCTCTATTTAGGCGGGCAACGTTGCAATGTTCTCCGCGGAATTTTTAGCTTTTTCGTTTAAAAATCTAAAATTTGTTACAGTTTTAGCATTTTTTCTGTTTTTTAAGATCAATGTCGCCAGCATCTCATCTGTCACTGAATCCCAGCTAGCTGATCTAACATCCAACAACAAATTAGTGCTGGTCCTTATCAGTGAGCACTTTTTTTATTTCTTTCCTTTTTTAACTATTTTATTTCTTGTTTGTGAAATTTGTTAGTTTTTAGGCAAAACTATACTTTATTTTATGCACCTACCAAGCAAGTTTGAGGTAAGTTTAGGAAGGAGTGAGCTCTGTACTAAATTAAAATGTACTAAATTTTAATTTGTATGTAAATAATATGTTACTAACTAAGTGTATGGCCTCTCTCTCTCTCTCTCTCTCTCTCTCTCTCTCTATATATATATATATATATATATATTCTATATCAAATGTCTGATAATAATTAATATTTAATTTTAATAAGAGTTTACTTTGGCTGAATTTTATATATGATGAACAAACAATGTTTCTGTTTGACTTCTTTTTTGTAGTTTCATCATGTAAAAATAAAATTTATATGTCTTATAAATAATCTTATTTTTAACTAAATAATTCTTAAATTATTATGAAATAGGGCCAACAGTTGCATGTGATAATGATTGCCAAAATGTCAGAAAATTATTGGATAGTGTTGCTCATGATACAGCTACTATTGGTTGCGTTTTAGTGTTTATTTAAATTTCAAGCTCTAACTAATAATTAAATAATTTAATAAGTTCTCAGCAAGGAGTTGTAAAGGAAACAATATATGTTATTTTTTATTATTTTATAATTTGCCTTACTGATTGAAGGTTTGAAAGTTGTTGAAGTGCAGAGCTCAAAACTGATGAAGGCATTTGATTATCAACAACAGACTGAAAGTGTTAAACTAATTTATTTCAGAGATGCCATCCCTCTTGTATATGAAGGTAAAGAAGAATGTATAATGTAATATAATATAATAATGTAGAGTAATTGATAAATAAATCATTATAAACATATCCATAGATCTTTATTTTATAAAGGTGTATTGGAGCCATCAGCAGTGGAGGATTTGGTGGATTGGTTGAAATTGCATGACGAAGTAGCATTGAAAAGATTGTATGATGGTGATTTTGAGCACCTCACACAAGCCTCCACAGGTTCAACAACTGGAGATTGGTTCATTCTTTTGTTAGCATCACACTTTTCTTTATTCATCATATTATTTTTTCCTCTTTGTGTACCTTATTTTTGTTACATACAGTTATATAGATTTATATATAGTTATGTAGAATTATTGATTATATATAGTTCTATAGTGTTATATACAGTTGTTTATATGTATATTTTACCGAATGTTTGGCGTTAATATGTTTGTAGTTCGTTTTTGGACGCTAAACGAAGATTGATTTCATTATCTTATTTCACTCCAGACCTTTATTTTTATGTGTCACAAGTTATGATGGAGCACACAATGTACATTATATACCATAGATTCTTCTTTGTAAATGATTTATTCACCAATTCTTCCAATCCCACGATGTAGTTATTCACCACAATGTGAACATTTCATCTCATTGTGGGAATCCTTGGCTGTGAGATTGTTGCAGCAGAAGATGGTTGCAGTTGTCAACACACGAGATAATCTACATCTGAAGGAACGATTCCAAATCTCCAAGTGTCCTCAAGCCATATTGTCTGTTTTAATTTATAGCTTGTTTATTTTTCATTGTTGAATAATGCTATGTTGCCATTGATGAAGTGAATTAGTGAAATTTTTAACTCACTGTAGCTTCAGGTCTGGCAAAATGTATGAGTATGTCCTACCAAGTTTTGAAATGAATTCACTCTTAAATTTTGTGGACGGTTGGTTCAAAAATGCACCTTCAAAGCCCGTTCCTCCACTTCAAACTCCATTGTTTGTTTCTTTTTAATAAATTTTTAAAAGTTTTTGTTTGTATTTTCTTGTTCACTTTTTATGTTCATCATATATATATATGTGTGTATATATATATATATATATATATATCTATATATATATATATGATGAACATAAATAGTTAATATAAATATATATATATATATATATATATATTTAATAAGCTCAATTTAAGTTCTTCTGCATATCATTTTACGTTAATCTGGTTGATTTCACATTAGGGGTGAGGTCTGTCCCAAACCTTTTTCAATCATTCCATCAAGTATTCATCAAATGTTAAATGCCAATCAAATAATAATGTAATGCCAAACAAATATCAAACGTTATTAGCAAACTTGTTTCTGAATAATTTTTTATATTTCATTACATCAGTGACAAACTAACAGACGACATCGCCAACTGGCTCAAAGTTTGTTATTTTTCTCTCATTTCATTATTTCAAATTATTTTTATTGTCTTACATAATTTTCCAAAAAGGATTTTCCAGAATTAGTAGGAAATGTAATTGTTTTGTAATTTTTCATCACAACATCGAGCCAGTATTTTATAACCTGGGATCGTTCATTTCCTGCTTGCCTCTTTTAATACCTGTTAGATGCTCATTTTATAAACTAAAGCATAAGTTATATTAGATTGACGGATAAGTTCTATCACATTGGACGCATTAAATAGCATTCAAATATTATTGAAATTAATGGCTTGTATATTGAAACCAGTTGGAGGAAAGGCTGGTTCGGCACGTATGTATGTAGATTGTACAATAAATGTTTTGTAGTATAAAATTGGGCTGATGAGTGTGTGTTTTTAGTTCTAAATTGAAATTCTCATGTAGGATAAATTCGTTACATCATTCAATAGTTTTTCATATGGGGATTGTGTTTTTATAATTACTATTTATTGATATTAATTCAAAATTTTAATACTATTGCTTTATATTTGATAAGGTTAACATGAAATATTTTTTAATCAAATTCATTGCAGGAACAGTCAGCTTCTTTTGGTCTTAAGGTTTCCTTAGTTGCATTTGTGTTTTTAGTAATTTGTATTTTAGCTTATAGTCGATTGGCTCCTGCAAAGACAAAAATGAAATAGTTGTTTTTCATTTATTTAATAAATTTCATCTAAAAAAATTTTTGGAAATGAAAAAAAAACTAAATGAAAAAACTAGAAAAGCACAATTTTGATTTTGACAGGTCACTACAAACAAACCCACAAAACCAAATATCAAACTAATAAAAATGAATACCAAATATACACGAAAAATGTTAGAAACGTTAATGAAAGAAAAGTATATGAAAGAAGTACGTGGGTAAACTACCAATGTGTAATGCATGTAAATCTTAATTGAAATCTTATAATGGCAGCCCCCTCCATTTATTCATTCATTAATAATGTCATACTAAAGAGTTTTACAGAAAACTGTAATTATGTTGAGATGACGAAACCAAGTGAGTGCTGGCTGTTTAAAAAAATTGTTCATGTAATTCACGATGCGAGAAAATTTCGCAGAACGTTTGATAATAAGATTCTCAACTCATTGACATTTTATTAATTGATATATTTATGTATTTATGTATATATATATTTATGTATATATATATTTATGTATATATATGTGTGTATGTGTTGGATGGGAACCATATTTTATACAGTTCTACCGAACTGTTGGCATATAGTTAGATTAACTATTAATTGATTTATGCCAACAATTCTGTAGAATTCACCCTATACTGTATAAGTAATAGATGAATAATTCAATAAAATGTACACAAGCAGAAGATAGTTACTGACAATATATAAATGACTAGTAACAGAGAACATACAACATCCAGAAACACATTTATATTGTACCGATGGGAAGTTTCAAAGAAAATAATGTAACGGGCAGGTACCCTAAAATGTTTGATTCGTTTTAATGTAAATGACGTTTGACCAGGTTATATGAATTAATACGTTGGTAATTATTAATAGATAGTTCTCAGATGAGTGAGATAATAAGAGAATGGAGATTCTAAATTAAACTCTTAATTTAAATTAATAAGTAAAACAAATATTAACGAATAAAAAATGAATCAAGTTAATGAATGGAACTAAATTAAGCAAAGTCGGTAGGTGGAATAAACTCATGAAGTTGAATTTGGAAAGAAATTATGCAGGTGGGAAAGAGATAACGTTGGCTGACAACAACGTACAAATATCATAAATACATACGCGTGGATACAACAAATGTTTAAGCTTCAGACATCAATTCTAAACATATCTTCGTAATGATTCAAAATAGTTATCCATAACAGATCTTCAACAATAAGCTCGTGCAACCTATTAATTAGCATCTACAAGGAAACCAACTTGATCGCAATTTTCGAAGATTGTTTTTTCAAATCAGATTTGATCACAACCTCTTGAGAACCGACAGCTTCCACTCGGGCGGAACCTGTAAAGTGTGCAATCCAACCGTTGAAGGATTGAACGGGAAGGTGATGGCGAATAAATATTTCGTGTCCATCAGAAGTTGTTGAGTGGAATCCTGCCTGTATGAGAGTTTGTCTTGTATTTTCCGTATAAATGTGATTGGTACGCGTTCCTCAAACTCGTTAACGGGCGTGTAGAGGTTGAGTATCTTGATGATTTGCGAGGTCGTCAGTTTGGAGCACATGTCACACACGCTGTCCACGTCGGTGTCCGTCTTCCTAGCTTGAAGGAGTTGCGATGCTTGGATGATGGGATCGAGAGCCGACTGAACGTTCGTGTCGTTCATTTTGTGGTCGCGCAACCACTGCTCCATGTGGCTCAAATTATACCTGAAACATGGGTTCGTTGGAAAGTTTGTATTTATTGCATAATTATGCCTTACAAATGTAGGTTTGATTGAGTTTTATCAAATAGAATTGATTACTTCTGTCTATTTCACATTTTTGAAACAGGTGAATGTGTGTGCGTACGTGTGAGTTGAAATGAATGAGAAAATTGTGCACCTCATCTGCATGCCCTTGGTCCAGTGGCACATGTCTTTACGTAGGAGTAAGTTGTTGAGGGAGTTGGCGCATATGAAGTAGAAGATCTAAGTTGGGGTGTTTCTAATTCATCATTCCGAATCATCATTATCATTTCTATCATCATCATTTTAATCATCGGCCATCAATACGATCGTCACATTTATTCATTCGTCGAAACCTCTGCTGACCTGTCTGAATATTTGCTGAACAAGCTCTGGATCGACCATGTGAACGGTGACTGTGTGCATCAAGTTGTCCAACTGTTGTTTGCAGATGGCGATGAAGAAGACGGAGTTGCAAAATATGAAGGAGAGAAGACGTAAAAGGCGATATTGGAGAAATAAAAGTAAGGAAAGCAATAAAAACGAATGAAAATACGAACTGATTTGATCAATCTATCGAGTGCCTCATCACATGACTTGGCGTCTGCCTCTCCTCTTCTTCCCACCGCCATGTTCCTTCCACGCAAGCCTGCTCCCGTCGGCTTGCCAGCCGTCAGACCAGCGATGGCTTCGTGTTCCAATATGGCCGACACTGTTGTGCATTGCATTGCGACACATTAGTTAATTGTGTGCATGTTGAATGTGTTTCTCTATGCATCGCGCACTCGTAATTGATTTTATGATAAAAAGATTGAACGAAATATGAACCAATGAAGGGATGAATTTGCGCTTCGACGAGTTTGATTAGTCCCTGGAAGATCCAGACGGCCAGGTCACTGAGAATCTGCCGGTACTCGGAGAGGTCAAAGTTCTTCAGGCAGTGTTCGTTCTGTTTGCTGGTGTTGTGCGTCTGGAAGACCTGCAAGTGCGAGCAAGAAACATTTCATTGTTATCTGTGGCGCCATGTTCAGTATTCAAATAATTAATGCGTGATGTATCGTCATGAATAATATTATAATTAATAATTATTGTTGTTCTACTTTCTCTCCACTGTACTGTTTCAAATTATGAAGCAATCTGCAAGTGTTCGACAGCCACAAGGTCAAGGTTTCTGAATCTTCCTGGAATCTCTGTGTGGATACGACGATGATGATGGTGGGCATGATAATGACGATGATGGCTGAAACACAATCATTACTAATAAACAATCACACGTCATTCGGGATGATGATTTTCTCTTAAATAAATTTTGAAAAAAATTTATTAATTGCATTTAGATCGACCGATGGTTGGCATCGTGAAGAAACAACCGAGTTTGGATGAACCAATGAGAAGCACCGAACCATTCGACCAATGGTAAGAAAGGTACCTTAACGGTTTTCTTGATGCCGTTGATGGTGTTGGTGAGAAGACTTCGGACCTTGTCGTCATCATTCATGTGGTCCGTGTGGCGAATGCACATAAAGATGATGTAGGCGGGCAGGCCGGGGAGGTGCTGCATGGCTAGGCGGGGTTTCATTTCTGGCCGTGTGTGTTCGTGTGTGACCATCGTAATGTGCGTGCAATCAACTCATCATTCATCAATCAATCAATCACCCTAGCCCCAACCAACCATCCAACTAGCAAACAAACGAAGGAACGGACCAATGATAAGAGACTTGATGATGATTGGCTCATCTTCCTTCCTGTATTCGAACATCCCGTTGTACTCTCGCTGGCCAAAATGTCTCACCACTGGCATGTTGTGGCCGTTGCTTGTTGCAGTTGAGTTCAACTGATTTTGTTGCTGTTCATCTCTGGAAAGGTCAAGTTCAAGGTCATCCTGCATCTCAGCTGATGAGGATGAAGACGATGAGAGAGTTGATGAGGATGGAAATGAAAGTGTTTCACGCTTGTGAGATGCAAATAATGCGAACGAACGAAATCTTAAAAAATACCCTACTAACTACGGAGCATCACCATCTGCCATTCATCCCCTCACAAATCATCACCATCTGCCATTCATCCCCTCACAAATCAACGCTGTTTCTCACCAAATGAACCAGACTGACTCATTAATCTGGTTAATTTCCACTCTCCTTATAACGGGAGAGACGTCGGTAAGCATGCGGGGAGAGATTGCATATATAATAATTATATTTAAAATTACAGTTAAAATGAAAGCACGTCAAGCCACATTACATTAAGTTACACTCAATCATATCGCATTACATTGCTTGCTGCTCTTCACTACGTGCGTATTCATCTTCATTCGTGGATGATGTGAGGTCGAAAATGTTGAAATGAGGACGATGATAAATTAAAGCATGAGGCAACCGACCTTCTGAATTTTTTAATCTTTTTGCGTAAATCTTCAATGCCTTCTTCAGTTTGATGATTTGTTCATTCATCTTATCTATCTGCTCTCTCAAATCCTGTATTTGTTCGTTCATTCATTCGTTCGTTCATTCATTCATTCGTTCGTTCGTTCATTCATTCGTTCGTTCATTCATTCGTTCGTTTGTTCGTTCATCAAGCAATATTTTTTTACTCATTCAGAGTTAGCAATGGGCAATACTTTTCAAATCATAATTATTTGCTATCATCATATCATATACGCGATACTGTTACTATCTGGTACCAACGATTACAATTACTACTACTACTACTTCTAATACTGCCAACAACAAACAAAATAGTAATAATTTAAAAAAGAATGAATGAATGAGTGAGTGAATGAATAAATGAATGAATGAGTGAGTGAATGAATAAATGAATGAATGAATGATAGAAGGACAGACGAGGTTCTCGGAAGTGAGCCTGGTGATTTCGTGCTGCATGGTCGCCTCCATCTTCACCTTCGGCGTCATTGTGAGGTTCTGCGTGCGAATCAGTTCGCCATCTTAATTATCATCCATCATTCATTCATTGATTGGTATTACGGACTATAACAATGAACCGAGGAATGATAATTTAATTAAAGTGATTGAAGGAACGAACGAGCGAACATAAACGAAACGAAAGCCAACGAATTTCAAATCATTTTTAACCATTAATTCTAACAGAAAGTCATCTAGATAGCGAACTATGAAAGTGCAAAATTAAAAAAAAATAAAGAATGGTAAAAGAGAGGTCGAGTGCGAATGAACGGAGACAACGAAATTGTGAATTAATTGGAAACGATGACGATGAAATAGAAAACTTACGCTCGTGATGTCATTGAGCTGTGGCGATGGAGCGAGAGATTTTATAATTTATAAGCATTAATTGTGAAACGAATTTTAATGAAATTACTTCAAATGTTGAGAAATTTAAAAAAAATTCTATACAACAACTCTTGCATTATTTACGAGAAGGTGAACAATGCGAAATAAGGATGATGAGTTGCATGACAATGAAGGCACGACAAACAACTACACCGGCAAGAACATCACGGCCCACCTGTCCAATCAACTTTTGTTGCCTCATGTTTTCCTTCTTAAGTTCCTCAATCTGATTCCTCATGTCTCGCTCTTGTTCCGTGTAGGACTTCTGCATTCTTTGAAGTTCATTCTCTAGCAACCTAATTGTGTTTTATTCGTTGTTTGTGTGTTTGCTTGTTTGTTTGTTCATGTTCACTGCTGGTTAGTCGTTCATCCCTTCCATAACCGACTTACTTATCCGACACACATTCACCTGCAATCATGACAACGACGACCACAACACCCACTTGTTCAAATCTTTCTGAGTCTTATACGCCATCTCAAGTTCACCATCATCCGGAACAAATTCGCCTCGCCCATCTCTACTTTGCAGCCCATCTCTACCGGATGACGTCATACCGCGTTGTACGGCACTCCTCGTCATGGAGGCCAGCACGGTTCTCAGTTGAATGCATTCTTCGCGACGTCGGTTCAACTCCAGATTCATCACTTCAAGTTGCTCTGCCGAAGCACATACACACGTACGTACACACATTCAAACATTCTGGCGCATATGCAAACAGACATTACAGTTGTCCAATAAAATTGAACATACAATCAATCAGTTTAGTATCATTTTTAAGTTGCTGAGAAGACCAACCAAGAACCAGTTTGGCACTTTTCACTCCTTCACCCTTCTCTCCATCCATGATTGACCTTTGCAACTTCTCAAGGTCGTTCTTCAGGTTCGTATTTTCTATCTCCAAGTCTTGCAGCTGTAAATGAATGAATGAAAGAACGAATGAAAAAATTAATTGATTGCACCCTTTCAACCACATTAATAAACATGTTCAAAAAGTGTTCAAATTCATTATCTAGTTCATCGATCAATCAATCAATCCATCAATCAATCAATCAATCCATCAATCCAAAAACAACAGAGTCAACATGGAGAGCAATCAACCAACCAACCTTAATTGATTCGTAAACTTCCTTATCAGGATCACTCCTTCCAGCACTCCCTTCAGCAACTCCGCCACCCTCAGACGACTGACTTTCAAACGACCTCGACCCACTCTTCCTGTTCATCTCTCTCCTCATCACAGATTTCTCCCATTCCAATTGACGGATGCGCATTTGTAGGCGGGCAATCAGGTTCACCTCTTCAGTGGAATCCTTCAATGTGATTGGTCAAATGTGATTGGTCAAATGTGATTGGTCGAATGTGATTGGTTGAATGTGACCGATTACATTTGGAAGGTTGAAAAGTGGGATGGTTGTCATTGGCTGAATATAATGATGATGATGATGGGCTGAGTTGATGATAATCTAATGATGAAGACCTTTTGTTCGAGTAGCGATGAATCAGAAGAGTTTTTCGATCTTTCGAGCAGTTTCGCTTTCTGGAGATGGGGATGATGATCAACATCATTGTAAGAACACCGTCATCATCATCTTCACAACACCAACTCGATAAAACTAATTAATAACTTTAACTAATCTTGAAAGCCAATAATCCAATTATTACAACGAATGAACGACGTCTGCATAACATCGATCCATCCAACGCAGACTACCTTCATTTCATCCTCTCCCTCGACATCACCATCTCTCAACTTCGTCATCTCTCCATTCTCATCACTGCCATTCGAGATTTGCTTCTTCAGTGCGGCCGTCTGTAGGGCTGGCTGCTCGTCCATGATGACCTTGCGGTTCCCTTGCAGATTTTCATATCTTTGTTGCAGACGAGTGTAATCTTTTATCATTCTTTGGTGGTGGCTGCGTTCTGATTCGAATTCGCGCGTTAATTCTTCTCTCACTTGCTTCAATTGTTCGTTCAGCAGGGCTGCAAATGTAAAAATGCAGCGTCATAAAAATGTCCGAGAAGAGAAATGGGAGAGAAAAGATGAAAGGAATAAAAATGTAAAAGAGAACCTTCGTGTTGGCTCTTGTACTCTTGCATTTCAACCTGCTTCACATCCAACTTCTTTCTCATCTCTTCATTCTCCTTCCGCATCTTCTCAAATAACTGAGCAACATTTTAAAAAGATTAAACTTGAATTAATCAACTTATTCGTCCATCCATCCATCCATTCATTCATCCATTAACATTGTAACTCACCTTCTCCTTCTCCATCCTGACAGCTTGCATTTCAGTGACGAGGGCTTCCTTCTCCAACTTTTCCACCTCGAGGTCTCCAGTCAACTTGCTGACGAGCAGCTCCAACTCCCTCAGCCTGTCCACGTTTTGTTTGGCAGCATTCAGGGCCAGCTTCATCTTCGCCATCTCGTTCCTCGCCTCGACCAACTGGCTCTGGTCTTCTTTCAGTACGATCACCTCTTTGTTCTTAAGTGTTTTTGTTGGCAGTGATGAATGCAAATCTTTCAAGAGAGACAGCAACGAGCGATAAGAAACAAACAACCGACCTTCTCAGTGAGTTTCTGCTGCAGTTCAATGATTTTGTTCTCCAGACCCTTCGCCACCTTCTTGATGTGCTCCACGGACCTCGCCTCGGCCTGTTTCGAAATTGTTCATCCATTCAAATTAATAAGCCATATTATTCACTCATTCAAACCAACCAACCAACCAACAAACAAACAAAAAGAGATGAATATTCATGAAAAAAAAAAGAGAACAAAAACAAAAAACAAAGCAGCACCTTTAGCTTCTTGAAAAGTTTCTTGGCAGCTCTCCTCCTAACATGAGCTTGCAACTTGACCACCCCTCGTCTGACTTTGTGGTACCTCCTGCGAGCCAACCAACCTCTGACAACCTTCTGTATGAGAGTGGCCTTGACATTTTTCACAATACGCACGTACTTGTTGCGCCCGAAGAGACCGCGTGCGTACGATTGGACGAAGATGACGCCTCTGATTATCTTCTTGTAGATGGCTTGCTGGTAGAATCGCCGCCACGTCGCCTGGATCTTCGTGGCGCATCTCGTCTCCAGGAGGAAACGAGCCTGCCTGCAATTGCGATCAGTTCAAGTTCTGATGACAAGCAATCAATCGGTGATGGTTCTTCACAGCAAGAACATCAACATTTAAGTTACAATTATGACCTTTAACCCCTGACCCGAACGAACCTTCTAGCCAACATTCCTCTTGCATATTTCTGCAACTTCAAGGCCATCTCCCTCACTTTCTGGAACTTTCGTTTCGCCAGAAATCCTCGAACTACTTTCTGTATCAACACTCCGCAACTTCTCAACTTGTCCGTCCTGCGATAAAATGTTCATTCCTACCATCATCATTAACACCAGCGCTCTTGAAATAAACTAAAATATCGGCTCCTTAAATATTTTGCAAATACTCTGTCGAAATTCAGAATTTAATTGCAAATATTTTTAACAATATTTGAAATACCGTGAAGTCTCATTCGCTAAAATTTACACGGTTAACATAAGAAACTTACTTACGTGCTCAATAAACGAACTTCAATTTTTTTCATTTTTATATATGAGCAAATAGATTAAAGATAGATTTGCATATACAGCGCAAAAGAAACTAAACGGTTGATGAAGCAACTTCATTGTCAAACTAAATCTGTTAATTACTAATTAACATCCCAAAGCTGCTAGATACGGTCCAAATACTGCTATTTAATTAATTATTTTAAATACGTTTAAATGCTGGGTTGAGTATTTAAATACTATTCAATGGTATTAAAATACTCTAAACACTTAGCTACACTGTAAATGCGTTTAAACAATGAAATGAACGGACGAACAAAGTTAGGAAGGAAACGAAAGAACAATGGACCTAAGTTTTTCGAGGTAGGCAACTTGGCCGGCTCTGAAGAAAATCTTCGTTCGACCTATTTGAAATTTTTCTTTGTCCTGGTAGAAGATTATCATCATCACCGTCGTCATCATCATCGTCGTCGTCATCATCCAGTCTTCCAATCATCCAAAAACAATGTGTGATAAGAAATAACTAAGTCCTCCTAAATAATCGTTGAAACAAAAATTCGTAACAACTTAACTAACCGACCAACTGAACTGATGCAAATTAAACAAGATGTGTGTGATTGACGCGAATGTAAGTTGTGGATATGAAAAAAAATTAGCGTAACTTAGACGGTAACAACATACTATTAATAAAGAATCTCTTACCGATTCTAAGAATATTACAATCAAGAAGAGATTGTGTGATGAAATATCTAAACAACGTGCGTGCCGTCAAAATAAAATAATGAATAAAACAAAATTAACGACATCACATCACATCATCAAAAAATATATACAATGTACATATACCGAAACTTGAGTGAGCTGAAAATATGAATGAATGAATGGAAAGCACATTACTAATTACAGTCGTATCATTAAAGATGAAAGATTCAGTTAACATCAAGTTATTAACTATCCGACATCCCTCTAGCCCTATCAAGTCGTAGGTGGCAGGACAAAAACCGCCTTAAGTTCAATTCCCATACTCCAAAAAAACAGATCAAGCCAAATAATTTTAACCTTAGCGGCGGTTAATTTTTTAAGCAAGAAATAAAGCGAAATTAAATGTCATTAAACAAAACACAACCGAAATTAAAATCACAACAATATGAAATGAAATTTTGACCCTTATTGGGGTTAGAGAATTTTAGTTTGGAAGGGGTTTTTGTCCTGAAACCATAATCATTGCTCGTTCGAAGAGAATAACTTATTTAATAAAATATATTTAGCATCTTTCAAGTTAAATGAACTTATTTAGTATCTTCTGACTTGGATAAACTTATTTAGTATTTTCTGACACGTCATCTTCATGTCCTTCCTGTTTATTTCACTGCTATGAGCCAGAACTCGATATCTCTGGAAGAATTCAGGGTAGGTCCATCTGAAATTAGAAAGGGGTGTTCAAAATTGAATTATTCAAATATGGTTGGTTATACGACAAAGTAAAAAAATAGCATGCATATGTGGTGAATGAATAAAAGTTTGGAGAAATGGGTCGGGCCTACCTCGACGGGTAGCCGGCTGCACTGATCCTGATGGTTTCAAGTACACCACAGGCTCTCAACTGTTGGATGGCTCGTTGCGGTTCAAAGCTGAAAGATAACAATCAGCCGATCGTTTAATCAATCAATCAACCAGCAAAATAAATAAATGTATGAACATACTGGAATGGCAGCTTCAGATCATTGGGTTTGATGCATCGTATGTAGTGTGGGGTAGTTTTGAAGAGAGTTTCCATCAGCAACTTCAACGACTCACGAAACTGTTCATCAGTAGGTCCATTCATTTTTATTACTAAATCATCGTTATTAAAATTTAAAGTTTTCCCAATCATTTGTTAACCATCATCATCATCCACATCATCATCATCGTCGTCGTCACCTGAGATCCAACAGTTTTCCTCATTTGTCTCTGAAGAGCCGACCTGCCAGGCAGATCCTTGGACGAGGACCTGATGACCGATGACGTCATGGTCTGCCTCTTCGTGGCGCTGGCACTACCCCCACCCGCCCCACTCAGCATCGTCGTCGTCTTCGTGGGGCTGGATGGGTCAGCCAGGTTCTCAAACAGTTCTGCTACCAGTTCATACTGTGGGCGTGTGAGATGGTTGTGTTGGTCATCGCGTGAACCAGTGAACATAAGAGACAAATAAACGAGTGAATGAACTAATAAATGAATGATTGACAGAATGAGGAAGTGAACAAATGAACAAATAAAAAAAACAAAAGAACGAACAAACCTGACTAGCTTTCAATATATTGACATGTTCTTCGAGAATGGTGTCTCGATTCTTTTCAACGAATCCATCCATCAGATATTCGACTTTGTCAGCGAAGTGTATGATGATGAATGACGTCTGAGAGAGACGGGGCTTCTCAAAAAATTCGTTCTTGCCGTGTTTGTCGTACAACTTCTGGTTCCAATTCTTATCCGACGCATTAGGCATCTGAGCACATATGCGTTCGTCATCATCGTCACCAACACCATCAGCATCATCGTCGTCAACATCGTCATCAGCGGCAGGGCACCACCCACCTTGCACTCCTCGTCAAGAAGATCGAGCACACCCAGTCTGCCTTCGATCAGTTCGATGCATGGCTGGTTGTCGTGGAAGTCGATAAAGCTCCACTCTATCTCCTCCTTTATGTACTCCTCTTGCTCCAATTTGAAGACGTGCTGTGGCGGTCATGATGGCGATGATTATAATGATGACGATGATTACAATGATAACAAAAATCATGGCGTCTAACCAAGCAGAACTGTTGTTGCAGCTTCTCATTAGCATAATTTATACAGAACTGTTCAAAACTGTTCACCTCGAATGTCTCAAATCTTTACAAATAAAATGAAACAGGTTAAGAAAAATTGTTACTATCATCATTGTTGAAAGATTCATATCGTCATCTGCATCATCTCCATCTCCATCATTAGCATGGGGAGAGTCCACCAACAGACATTTTCGTTAGGTTAAATTTAACAAAATATCTATATAACTAAACTGAATGAATGTCGGTTTAAAATTGTTGCAACTACTTAAACAAGCAAAGAACGTTTTGCAAAATAATTTGAACAAAAAATATGAGTTTAAATAAAAAAGCCGTGAAAAAATGATAAGCAGAGAGAGGAGAGAGAGAGAGAGATCGTCGACTTTCTTTCTGAGAAATCCTGGCCCCTCCCCACAAAAAATTCTGCATCGCAATCATCAACATCATCAAAGGTACCCGTAAATATCAAGGACTCCGATGAACTTATCTGATTTGTAATTGGCTGACAAAAGTTTGTTGACCTCAGATACGATCCAATTAAAAAGCTGGGAATATATGTGTTTCGACAGAGCATTTCGAGTGTTCAGGGCCTGAAACGTATTTAATAATATAATACTTTAGCTGCTGGGCATATAAAAAAATGAAAGCACATATTTATGAATGAGTGAACGAATGATCAATTAATTAATTAATCAATTAAAAAGTGCAACTTGTTGATGAGTGAGAGGCTTCGTGAGCGTTTCATTGGCCGTGACAATCTTTCTGTGACACAACCAGTACCTGAGTTTCAATCATCATCGTCGTCTTCATCTCGATCGTCATCGTCGTCCTCACCACCACCTCAGTCGTCAGCAACATAACGAAACATGCACCAACCTCATCTGTTCCTGATCGATACCCAGCAAATCAGCCATGATGGATAGGTGGACGTCTATTTTCTGTTATTCGTTCATTCGTTTATTTATTTATTTGTTCATTCATTCATTCATCATTGAAAGCGAAGTAAAAAAAAATTGAATGAGGTGCTTCGTATAATTCATCAACATTTTCTTTGATTTATTATCGGCCGCGAGCTGCCAACTCTTATATTTAAACAATTCAAACAACAGTCGAATCCCCAGAATATGAAACATGGTGAGGAACTATTAAGGTCGCTATGCCGTTGAAAGAACGAATGAACGAGCGAACGATGGAAGGAACAAACGAACGAACGAACGATGGAAGGAGCAAACGAACGAACGAACGATGGAAGGAGCAAACGAACGAACGATCGAACGAACAAACGAGCGAAGGAACGTACATGAACTTGGCAACTGTCCCCTCTCCTGTTGTCTGGGATGATGTTGACGTTGCCCATATGAAGAATTCCACTTAAAATTCGGAAGATGCACATCTGCTTCAAATCATTTATGCCTAGATGATGATGTTGATGATGATGGTGGTGGTGGTGATGATGATAGGTGAGCATATAAAAAGGAATGATGATGTACACAGGAATGGGTAAATAAGTGAAAGAACAAAGAAAAAAGTGAGTAAATGAACGAATGAATGAAAGAAAAACAGATGAATGAATAAAAAAGTTGCTACCCATGAGTGAAAATGCTTCCCTGAGGTTTGCAAAATCATCAAAGTCATCAATGGAATCAACTTTCTGAGCACTCCCCTGGTTCAGGTAGTCGAACTTCTCTGCCTCATCTGCTCGGTTGTCATTATTTTAATTATTATTGTTGTTGTTGCTGCTTCGACGTTATTAAAAGTATGATGACGATGGTGATGAAGGTGATACAGCAACCTTCGCTGATGTAATAATAAAAGAATTTTTTGTTGAGAACACATTCAAGAAGATGATGATATGGTAGAGATGATGATGATAATTCTAGAAAAGGTGACCTAGTTTGAGTTCAGCAAAATCTGGGTCACCAGCATTTGAGCAGAGTTGATAGAAGATGTGATAGTTTCGTTCATCTGGGGCTTGGTAGACAACTCTGCGAACGAAAGAATGAATGAATGAATGAAAAAGTGAAAAAGTAAATAGCCCAAAACGTTGATTAAAATTATTTTGATGCCATACTTAGCATTGCAATGATGGGGATTATGTGGATGATGATGATGATGATAACGGTGACTTAAAATAATTCGATGATTAACCTCGACTTCTCAAGAAGATACGTCCTCATATCGGCCCCAACAATGTTGTTTGACTTACTGAATCTGATCTGAATGTACTTGCCAAACCTGCTGCTGTTGTCATTGCGTGTCGTCTTTGCATTCCCAAAACCCTTAGAGGAACAGAACAAATTTTTGAAAACATCGCAAAAAAAAATCTCAAATAATTTCAATTGGGTCCAAACACCACAGCAACAATATTTCTAGCTGGAACAAAGCCCCTCTATTAGGGCCCAAACAACAAACCTCCATGATGGGATTTGAGGCCAGGACTCTCTTCTCGATCTGAGTTTCGGCTTCGGCCCCACAGACCGTTGCAAAGTACCTCATGGCATATTTGGCCGACACCGTCTTGCCTGCCCCCGACTCTCCTGACACAATCAGGGACTGGTTTTCATCATATCTGACAGGAATGGTTTTTATTTGGTGACAAACTTTTAAACCATTACATTGAACTGATAACCACATCTATGGCAAAAAATGGCAAAATCTTCCAAATTAAAAAAAATATCAGAAACTTTGCCAATCTTTTGTAGGCCTCCTCTGCAACAGCAAAAATGTGCGGGTCGAGGCTATTCATGCTCTGTCCGCTATAAGCAGTGATGGTGTCATTGTCATAGATGGGCAGACTTTCATAAGGATTGATGGCCACCAACACGATGCCACAGTAGGTGTAGATGTAGTTCCTCTCCACGAACCTCACTTGCAGATTGTACAAGACAGCAGGTTCATGCAAGTAACTTAGGGATGTTAAATCATTCTCCCCAATTAATATATCCGGATTTCTAAGTGGGGGTAGATTCTTGGGACCAGCCACTTGAATTGATGTATCCTGATATGGTTATTTGAATTGCTTTTTACAAAAAAAGTTACAAAGTATCACATTTTATAATAATCATAGTCATACTTACCGATCTTGCTATATGTTAGTACTTCATAAATTAAAAAAAACGACTAAGAAACAAAATTTACTATTATTATTATATTGTTTTACTCTCTATTACAATTGAATCATTAATGATTAGTTAGTGCTAGATTAGAGACAGACCTTGCCATCATCCAGAGTGACTTTCAAAGATTTCTGTCCCTTGTAATCTTCATTAAGGACAGCACTTTTCCAGACCATCTCCACATCTGGCAGCCACACTCTTGTACCCTAATTTAATTATTCACGTTGTTCACATTTTTATTTCAAATAAGAATAAACAATAAAAAATTAATAAGCCAGCAAGCTTACATTATAATTACACAAAAATATGTTTTTATGTTAATTTTTTTAACATGATGGCATTGGCATTTAAATTAGCAATTCCACCTTTGAATAAAGTTCCGTAAAAGACATGATTCGTATGTTGGAATTGAACAAAATCGGATAGATTCACATGATCAGTTTGATGATTAGAGATTAGTGTCAGTTCTCGTTATCTTAAAATGTTACATTTGTGCGAACTCCTTAAATTAAATATCATCGAAAGTTCACTTTTGGACCCAAATAAAACATAATTTTGAGTTGTCTTTGAACCATGGAATTACATTAAAGTCTATGGTCAAGCTATTGAATTTTTTATTATTATTATTCATTAAAAATCAGGATCTGACAGACGCAGAAACTGTTACAGCATGCAAGGCAGTAGTACAAAATTAAACAAATAAGTAAATAAATGAATAAAAAACGGAGAAAGAAAAATGTTTATTCTAGTTATATATATCAAACGGCATCTTATTGAACAAAGTAGTATCATAAAATGAATAAAGATACTTTTTTCAAAATTTTAAAAAATTCTCAATTTGGTTTCATTGCGATATCGATGATTATGATTGTGACCTGACTAATTAAAAAACATCAAATAAAATTTATTAAATAGGATGGGTAATTCGTTGCGAAATCGTTGGAGGGAAATGACGTCATGTTAACAATAGTTAGTTATTTTACTGGATGGTAGTTAATCAGCCGGTATAAAGGTTATATTCAATTCCTATCAAATAAATTTGACTAAATATCATACGCAGGCAAAACTAAATAAAGAAATAGATAGATAGATAGATATATATACGTAGTTATAATACTTCTATAATGTTGTATTTACACATTCAAATTGTACAATTGTGTTATGGTGTAGTCTCAAATTATTTTGAATTCTTTCGGAAAAATTTAAACTTTTTACTGTACATATACATATACATAAAATACATATATATACACATATATGTATTTTAAATACCTTATATGAAATATTTTAATTATGTAAGGAAATACTTAAAATCAGTGTATACAAATAATTACTAAGATTATATGTTTAGATAAAAAGAAATACGGCAGTTCTAATCAGTCAATCAATCAGAATGTTTCGAAGTTTGGGTAGCTCTGTTGTCAAGAATGTATATTAGTGTATTACATAAAACCAAAAATCAATAGCATTATTAAATCAATAAACTTTTTACTTTACTGATGTGAATGATTGAATTGGTTTTAAGTATAATATATAAAAGAAATGAAATAAAGACAACATGCTCTTTGGATAACCTCAAGAGCAGCATTACTACTACTACTACTACTACTACTACTACTACTACTACTACTACTACTACTACTACTACTACTACTACTACTACTACTACTACTACTACTACTACTACTACTACTACTACTACTACTACTACTACTACTACTACTACTACTACTACTACTACTACTACTACTACTACTACTACTACTACTACTACTACTACTACTACTACTACTACTACTACTACTACTACTACTACTACTACTACTACTACTACTACTACTACTACTACTACTACTACTACTAGTACTACTACTACTACAACATATTTTTATTTTTCAAATGTTAGGTGAAAAAGGAGCGATCTCAATATTAAACTTGAATTCAACTAGATAAACCTGTACTGTGTAAACGTTCTCAAACAATCCCATCAGGAAGTCCGTAGGCGTTCGTTGAATTCATTTTAGTATAGATAATATATTGTTGTTAAGCACCTATAATAACAATTCATATACATTAAATAAAGTTTTTTATTGATGTCAATAATTGAAATGATAAGAATATATGAATGGAACTGGTATAAATAGGAGCCGAAAATTCGTTGAAATCAGATCAGGCGCTTTGTACCATTGTCTTAGCGCCTGGTCTCATTTTTTTATTTCTTTATTTTATATTTTCTATATTTATTTATTTTTATTTATTTTTACTATATAGAGTTATATAGAGTTATATAGAGTTATATAGAGTTTGCGCGGTTATATAGAGTTATATAGAGTTTGCGCGGTTATATAGAGTTATATAGAGTTATATAGAGTTTGCGCGGTTATATAGAGTTATATAGAGTTTGCGCGGTTATATAGAGTTTGCGCGGTTATATAGAGTTATATAGAGTTTGCGCGGTTATATAGAGTTATATAGAGTTTGCGCGGTTATATAGAGCTATATAGAGTTTGCGCGGTTATATAGAGTTATATAGAGTTATATAGAGTTTGCGCGGCTATATAGAGTTATATAGAGTTTGCGCGGCTATATAGAGTTATATAGAGTTTGTATGTTTGTCTGTGGTTTATGTGTTTGTATGTGGTATTTTTTTTATTTTAGGTGGGTTCTTTAGCGGTTGCTCATACATACATTACATACATCATGTTTGTTTGTGTGGTAATATTTTATGTTCTGTTTTACTCCTTGTTCTCTTTCTTCATGAGTGTTAGTTAAGTTAGTAAAAGATAGGTAGGTGAGATTAAAAATTAATTTATTATATAGGTAGGCTAGGGCATAAGGTAATTTAATTATATAGGTAGGTTAGGGACTTCTATTCTTTTACTCTACTTTGTGGTGTGTTTTTCGTTTTGTGTTTTGTTTTGTTTCACACCATACATTCAACAGGTACGCGGCGGTTCCTGGTTTTAGTGGGATTTTTATTTATTGATTGTTGAATATATTTTTATTCCTACAGGTCTTACTCTCTACGTTTTAGTCTTTCTTTCTATTTTACCATTTTTATTTTTATTTATTTAAGATGCGTCATTTAGAACACCTACTCAAACACACACATTACATTAGGTAGCTATATAGGTAAGTTAGATAGGGGTAATTTTATTTGTAGGTAGGATAGATAGGAAGCATCCAACACTAATGTAGTTGAATAGGTAGGTGCGTAAGTTTATCGCTTCTATTTTTTCTTGCACCCACATTACACGCATCAGCGTATTACACACACACACACACACAAATACATACATAAACACATATATTAGTATTTGAGCGTAATTTTATTTTCATTACACATTCTAATTTATTATTACTAAGGTTGAGAGTAATTTAATTTCATAGGTAGTTAAGGGCAATAATGTAATTCTAAGAACAATCTTGTAATGTAAATTAAATGTTGTAAGTGTATCGATAGGTAGGTTAATTATTAAGTTTAAATTATTATTAGGTTGGAGCCCAAGGCATTATGTAGGTGGTGGGGTGGGGCCGATTGGCGAATGAATTGGGCTCTTGAGTTTTATAATTTTAGGTAAGCTAGGACCATAATGTAATGAATAGGTAAGTTAAGGCTACGTTGTACACACATACTCATTAATAGATTTAGGGTTTAAGTTTTACATTTTTTTTACTAAGTTGGAGCCCAAGGCATTATGTAGGTGGT